CAGACTCTGACCTGTCAGCACAGAGCCCTACCTGGCGCTTGAACTCATGAACCATGAGATCGTGACCTGAGCTGAAGTCAGAGTCTTAACCGAATGAGCCACCCACGCGCCCTGTGTATTTTCTTAATTATACCATATCATTCCTTTTACTCAAGAACCTGAAGATTGTTTCCTAGACATGCTTCCTATCAGACCAGATAACTCCAGTTTTCATTGAAATGAAATTTTTCTTTTTCATCATGGAATATGCTTTAGTTAGCCTCATTAGTTGCATTTCTTGCCCTCTGGTGCATTATTTGGAGACACTCTAGGAAAGGTGTCTCCAAATTCATTATTGCTCAAGAATAACATTATTGTCCTTTCTTCCTCCTCCTTACTTACAAAGCCTTTGATGGAAAATTATTTATGTGCTTACATAAACAATGATTTGAACAAAGTACTTAATTTCAGGCTGATAGAGGAATTACTGCAGAACACAGTGATAACCCTGAGAATAGACACATCCAGTGTGAATAGCCAGAAGGTCCATGAAATTGGTCTGGGAGGACTTTTAGAAAGTTAATGGACACTTAAAATAAATTGTGTTATAAATTCACTCAGATCATACATTTCAAATGGCCCATGATTGAAAAATTCAAAATAAAATTGTACCTAACAATGGGAACTAGGGACATAATTTAGATGTTTTATTTTCCCTGTCACTGTCCCATATTTCAATTTAGTTCCTAAAAATGAGATCCTTAAAAACTTCCCAGAATAAAAGTTTTATTTTTTATTTTTGTTTCTACTCTTTCCAAGAAACACATTAAACATCTTGCTAAATTATTCTTGCTAATTTGGAAAGAGTAACAATTTAATCTCACGCATGCACTTGTAAGCTATGCAAGGTAAAATAATAATAATATTTAGTTTGGGTTGTCTCTAGATAATTTTCCCTTTGCTAGTTTCATTTCACACTGTTTATTTTGAAACACTTGGACACCTACATGCAGGGGGAAAAAAGATCAAAAGTCTGAAACACCCATGTGCCCCAGTTAAGCAAACCCTTCATAAAAATGAAAAATATTGATAAATTTGGTGGTGATTATTTACTGCATAGAAATGTTTTTGCTAAACAGAAGAAAGTACTGTAGAATTCTTTAAATATCATGCCCCCTTCCAGTCAAATTGGATTTGTGCACACTTAATTTACAGGCATATTTTCAGGGACCCAGTTGAGGATTAATTGAGAATTTATATCTCAGTGTTTTAGGAACTGTTACTTCTACATAAGTGTATTATTATTGGAGACAGAAAGTGGGTGCATCTAGATTTAGTTTATAAAACAAAAGTAAGGCAGACAGCTACAGATCTCTATCAAAATCCAAGGGCCTTGAACTCCTACCAAATGACTATCTTGAAATAATAATGCATGTCAGGGAAAAGAAGGTAGCCAAAGCCCATTATAAAAGTGAGAAAGGAGATATGTCCAGATGAGAGAAATGCCTCTTATCATCTTTCCAAATTTTCCTTAACTATAAAAGCTAATTAGATTTGTTTCAGGAAATGATGGATCAAATGAGAGAATGGTTGGTGTATATAACATTTGTAAACCAAAGTAAAGCTTCAGTACATGTAAAACAAGAAGAATTCAACTTATTTTTCCAGTTGAGTAAGTGAAGTATTAATATATTTTCTCCGCACAATCCAATCTACCAAGTCTTTCCAATGAAAAGATTTTGAACTATTAGAAAGTAAAGCTACCCGTCCAGTATTTCGTAAGGATTGACTTCTAACTGTGCTCTGAAATACAGAGGAGTGGCAATGACTTTGCCCTGAGTTTGTTGTCAGGGTCTGGAAGTCTCACATTTCTTTATTTGTGAAAGGCTGATCAGGATTTCAGACTTTTCTAGAGCCCACATGTCAGCATCCATAACCATGACCTGAGTTCTGAGTTGCAAGAAATGTTCCAGAACACCTATGCTCAGAGTGTGGCTCTGTCTCCTATAAGACAAGTTTAGTTCTTAAAATTAAGCTTTTAGAAACATTTACAGCAACTTGGCATTGTGCAGCATCCAGTAACATAATCATTTTTTTTCTAGCAATTTTGTTTTATTGTATTTTATAAAAATATTAGTCTTCAATACTTTGGAATTAAAACAGCAACACCAACACTACCTAGTTCTCTACTGCAGATAGAATGAGAATCACTATTTAGACACAGAACTTTATAACATGGGACCACAATGAGATGCAGGGAACCCTATTTCTACTGATGGGATCCAGGCTGCTCTGACAGCTTTGGGCAATATGGAGCCAGACATGAAGTTCCATTTCTAAAATAAAAAACTTAAAACGTGGAAGTTCACGGGTTAGATTTGCATCTCATTTAACCATAAGCATCTTTTACAGAATTGTTTTATAAACAAAACCACCATCTGCAATGATCTATGGCATCTGTTTTTAGTAAGAGCCCATCTTTACCCTGCTTTGTGCAAACAAGCAGAAGCCAAGTAGAAGGAACTTTGCATTCCCAAGAGGAGATTTACATTTTATTCTTGGAACTGAATATCATTAGTGTAAAAAGGTTCAAGCAGTGTAGCCACACTGAACAGAGTGCAGCCTTTAAAGCAAGGCTCAGACCAGATATCCAGGATTTCCATATGGCTTCTTTACTCACAAGCTGTGGGCCTCAGTTTCCCCATATGTAAAATTAATGTAATGTTCCCCCTTACCTGAAAGGGTTGTGGTGAAGAGTAAGTGACTTACTGTATTAAAATTCTTAGGGTAGCACCTGGTACATAATAATTGCTAGGTAAATGATGACTGTTACTATAAACCATAGCAACTATTTCCTGGCGAGCTGAGGGATTCCTCCAAAATGGCCCTACCACTTTTCAGAATTCCACAGTCTAGATGTGATAGGTTCCAAGCCCATGTATTTCTCAGCTTGAGTGATGATGACCTTATTGAAGGAGTATCAACATGGGTGGTTTGCTAAACAGACAGCCTGGACCGAATGCCCGGCTCTGTACTCCGAAGGAGTTACATTTATAAGCAGTGCCCTGAAAGAAGCTACATTGACAGGGCAATGCAAGTCAGGGCAACCACTGTTCTACCTTTACCTGTCTTTAATGCCCTGGTTATCGAATTTATTATAAAGCAGAGCTCTTTTTAAAAAACCTCCCTCCCAGGTCCACATCAACACGCCCCCTAATGTATTTCAATGTCCCTTTCATATAAGGAGTAAAATCATACTCATTCAATGTAAATCACCTGATTCAGACTTCCTTTTTAACAATATCGTTTAGAAAATTGCTTCTAGAGCTTAGCAGTATCTTAGCAACAGCTGCTTCTGGGTTCAACCCGAGGCTTCCGAGGGCTTATTCCATGATTTATAGGTCTCTTCCCTGATCCAGAAGTAGACAGCACAGCCCTTTGCCTGCTGGCATTTTATCCAGCCCTTGAATCAAAAAGCATCTCCAGCTGTCCCAGTCTTGTGACTCCTTTAAACGCGTTTGAGTCAGTGCTTAGATCTTACATAGCATTTTTCCAGCCATGATTAAATTCCTTAAATGGCCCAGAGGTGTGCCAGCATCTGACTGCTGAAGCAGAGGCAGAAAGTTTTGTGGTTTTAACATTGAGAACATGTGGCTTCCCTCGTCCATATGTTCTTTGAGGGATGACGGAATTTGCACCGTGGAGCCACATGGCACATTATGCCATGGTGTGGACCTCACCACTGCATTTCAGTTTGTGCAGCCTTGACAGGTAGAGTGATGATGATTTGAGACTGAGGAAGACCTCTCCTTTCAAAAAAAAAAAAAAAAAAAAAAAACTAAGCTGCCACATTTTTTAGTGGTAGTGGTGAATCTGTTTCTCTCTGGAAAACTTGGATTTAATCTGTGGTTAATCTGTCGTTCTTGGCTGGCTTTCAGTCTTTTCTAAGATGCTGGGAGTAGATTATCTCTGAAAGGATAAAGAACGGAAGGCTGAATTTTCAAGAGGATACTTAAGTAGAATAAAAAATCATAAGCAGGCTGTGTTAGAGAATGGACACTCCTAAGCTATAAACACCCACTTTCCAAAGCAATGATTATTCTCACTCCTGAATACTTTGCAAAAGCTGAAAAGCTGTGAGCAGACTATTCCTCAGAACCTACACGCTTCAAAGTTAAACCTGCATTAGAGGTTCAAAGCTGAGGGCTGCTGTGAGGGGAATTTCAGGGAGAGATGATTTTGCATGGATGCCTATTTTTCTGTCCTATTTCACTGTCCAAGCGCATCGCCTTGCTTCTGATGATTTCAAAGTCCCCCGTAGTAGTCCTGCTCCATTGGTTGACCAACAGAAACAAAGGTCTTAATTAAGACCATCCTCCTTTGCTTTTCCGTTCAGGTGATGGTGGCTGGAAGCCAGAACAATCTCCTTCTGAAGCCTCTGCTTCCCAATACTGAGTACAAAGTCACGGTGACTCCCATCTATGATGATGGAGAAGGCGTCAGCGTCTCTGCCCCTGGAAAAACCTGTGAGTGAAGCTTTCTCCCTGTGCATACTAGCTGGCCAATTAATTGAAAATGCTCACCCCCTGCAATGTGCCCTGAATGCCACGGTGTAGTGTAGTGAGAAGAGCAAAAGAGATCGGGAGACGGGAAATCTGTGTCTGAATCCAGGGAAGCTGTGTGGCTTTGAGCAAGGTGAACTAGCTGCTCTGGGCTTACGTTTTCTTCTGCATAAAAGCTAAGACTTAAGAAACAACTATGTCTTCCTCAGCAGCATCTGATTCATCACAAGTCCTGCTGACTACCCAAAATGTGTTCTGCAGACCAGCCCTCTTTGTCTTCGTCTGTCTGCTCCGCCCTGATCTACGCCTCACTCTCCGTCACTAAAATGAGTGCACCAGCCTCCTCCGGAGGCTTCCTGCTGACACTCTTGAATCCTCTATTCTCCTCCCTGCAGCCCAAGAAGCTTCTGAAAATATAAATGATCTCGTGTCAGGCCTGTTTCAAGTCTCCCAGTGGCTTCCCACTGTGCTCAGGATGAAATCCAACACCCCTCCCATAGCCCTGCAAGGCCCTCTAAGACCTGGACCCTGCCGATTTCCTTAATCTCACCCGCTAACAGGTGCCCCAGCCATCCTTCCTTTCCTGCTCTTCACATTTAAGCTTGTCCCTGCCTTAGGACTGATGTACTCGCTGTTCCTTCCATATGGAATATCCTTCCCAGGTATTTGCCTTTCTGGCTTTTTCTTGTCATTTTGGCTGCAGCTCAAAGCCGCCTCCTCAGACTTTGCCAACCACTCCATGCAAAATAGCTCCCAATCTCTGTGCTATCAACCTGTTTTTTGGTTGTTGTGTTGTTGTTGTTGTTGTTGTTGTTGTTGTTGTTGTCTTATCATGTTACGGCACTAATTACCATCTGATATTTTCTTATGTACTCATGTATTTGTTCATCGTCTGTCTCCCTTCCTTGGAGAGCAGCATCACGAGAGCCCAGGACCTCATCCGTACTGTTTGCCTCTCCATGCAAAGCTCCTCCGGTACTGTGTGGCACAGAGGGGGCACCACTCAATGTTTGTTTGGGGCGAATTGGCCCTGATGATCAAGTGAGGAGCACGCACCAAGGAGCAAACGCTTGGTCAAAGCACCACAGAGTCCTTACCGTGCGGTTATCTGTACTTGCATGAACTACCTCAAAACCTAGTGGCTTAAAGTAGGAGCTATTTTATTATATTGCATGATTTTATAGGTCAGGAAATTAGGCAGGGCTTGTTGGGAGATTCTTCTGCCCCACAGGGTATGGATTAAGGTCACCTGGCAAGTGGGTTGGTCTAGGGTGTCCAAGACCACTTTACCCACATGTCTGGCATGTTGGTGGGGACGCCTGGAAGGCTGGACTCAGCTGATCCTGTCTCTCTCCATGTCGGGTCGGAGCCTCTCCATGCGCTCTTTCCAGCGGGATAGTCATACTTCGGACATGAATACTTGTTTCGAAGACAAGAGTTCCAGGAGGTGGCAAGCGGAAACTCAGGACACTTAAGGGCTATGCTTGGAACTGGAATGGTGTCATTTCTGCTATAGTCTGTGGGGTGAGGGGGTCATAGAACCCACCCAGATTTAAAGGGAGGGCCATAGCCTCCAACACTCAATGCGAGGAGGGTTAAAAACCTGCACCCATCTTTCGTCTACCACAATTACCAAACAGTCATGTGCGATTAGGAACAGAATGGTGGCAAGGGCTGAATGAATTCTGTACCTGGGCACTTAAGTGTGGAATTTTCAAGTAAGTGTACACGTCATTAAATTTCCGTAGCTGCAGCCCCAAGACCTGACTCTGCTCTGCTGAGAAAGTGGATATTATTTCCTTAGTTAACAGTGCTGGCACCTCTCCCTCTTCCTGGTGCCCATGCTGTGAGTGCCTCCACCCAGACTCCCACCAAACTTGCACATTTTGTTACAGATCATCCAGAGTATTAGGAGCCCCGGGATCTGCTACAGTTATTTCCTCTGGGGTCATGTGGAAGGAGGGAGGAAAAGGGGGGGAAGAACAGAGCAGTGGGAGAACACTGAGCCTTTCTTCCACTCTTACCAGGACGCTGTCATCTTGATCTTGACTTGATCTGCACGTTCAAACTTTGAGCAAACTTTGATATTTTGCTGCTACACAAATATTTGGGAACTAAAGACTTAAAGAACAATTAAAGAAGAAAGTCAAGTAGTAGATAGTATGGAGCACCTATACCGTATGCTTTTGTTTGTCTCAAATCCAGGTTATTAGGAGAAAAAGAAAAAGCAAGCAAGAATGGTTTATTTTTAGTTTTTTAAACACTTTTTTTTAAAGTTCCTTTATTTATTTTGAGAGAGAGAGAGAGAGCAAGAGCGGGGAAGGGGCAGGGAGGGAGAATCCCAAGCAGGCTCTCCACCACCTAGTACAGAGCCTGATGTGGGGGTCACAGGAACCGCGAGATCATGACCTGAGCTGAAATCAAAAGTCAGACGCTTAACTGGCTGAGCCACCAGGTGCCCCAAGAATGGGTTCAAATAAGCATAGTGAATTCTGCTCTGCTGAGTTGGTTTGGGATTGTTTTTAACTGTTTAATGTTCCATAAAGTTACCATAAACCCTGTCGCTGTGGGGAGAGGTAGGAAAGGGAGGAAAGGGGGTGATGGGGAGGCCGAGGGGCTCCATGTAACTACTGCTGACCTGGGCTTAAAGATCTCCTTTTAACTTTTACATGTTAGAAATTAGCATAATATGTAAAAGGCTTCCATGATAAACAAATATATACACACTTACACAAAACCCATTTAAAGACTTTTACTCTAGAAATATGACTTAAATCTCATTGCAGAGATACCACCACATGTAACAAAATCTATGTAGTAACATTACTTTGAAGTGTTAGTGGATGGTCTCTTTATTTTATTTTTATTTATTTATTTTTTAACGTTTATTTATTTTTGGGACAGAGAGAGACAGAGCATGAACAGGGGAGGGGCAGAGAGAGAGGGAGACACAGAATCGGAAGCAGGCTCCAGGCTCTGAGCCATCAGCCCAGAGCCCGATGCGGGGCTCGAACTCACGAACCGCGAGATCGTGACCTGAGCTGAAGTCGGACGCTTAACCGACTGAGCCACCCAGGCGCCCTGAGGTGTCTTTATTTTAAACAGTGGTCAGCACAACTACATTCTATCAACAATAACAAAAGTGGTAATGATAATATATATCAGTATGCACAATGGTTTACAAAGGTTCTCTATATAAATGGCTTAATGTTGTGATAGAAAATAGGTGAACAATAATATAAAATTTCAAACAATATAGGCAACATGAAGATGAAAGAAAAAAAAAATTACCAGAATCTAACCTCCTAGAATTACCATCGGTACCCTGGTGTGAGCCCCCTCGATATTGCTGTACAAATATACTTTGATAGTGGAACATGGTGTGTAGACAGAAATTTTTGATCAACATGATTCAATCCAACTTTACTCAAAATAAGCTAAAGAAAAAGGAACCGGAACAACCGTGAATGAACAACTGATCTTCAGATGAATGTGTTTCACCAGAAGAGCAGTAATTTCCTGTACATTCCATTTCTAAAACAACCATAGACTCTCCAAAGGTTCTCACTGTGTGTTATAATGCATTTTTACTTGTAAATACTTTAACGTTATGGGAAGATAGCTTAGATTTTGTTAACAGCGTAGTTTGTAAAACTAGAAGCCACACCAAATCACTGTTTTTCCTTTTCTCTGCTCAGTGCCACCCTCTGGTCCCCAAAACTTCCGGGTCTCAGAAGAATGGTATAACAGGTTGCGCATTACATGGGATCCCCCGTCTTCCCCCGCAAAGGGCTATAGGATTGTCTACAAACCTGTTAGTGGTAAGTAATGCTTTTAAAAAAAATATTGTTACCGTGATTAGACATCTAAAATGGTTTCTTTTTAAAAAAAATTTTTTTAACGCTTATGTAAACAGAGAGAGAGACAGAGCATGAGTGGGGGAGGGGCAGAGAGAGGGAATCGCAGAATCCGAAGCAGGCTCCAATCTCTGAGCTGTCAGCACAGAGGCCAAGGCGGGGCTTGAACTCAGGAGCAGTGAGGTCATGACCTGAGCGGAAGTCGGACGCTTAACCGACTGAGCCACCCAGGCGCCCCTGAAATGGTTTCTTTGTTTTAAAGTTTATTATTTATTTTGAGAGAAAAGAAAGTGAGAGCACACGTATGAAGAGGGAAGGGGCAGAGAGAAAGAAAGAATCCCAAGCAGTCTCTGTGCTGTCAGTGCAGAGCCCTACATGGGCTTGACCTCACAGATTGCAAGATCCTGACCTGAGCCTAAATCAAAAGTCATATGCTTACCTGACTGAGCCCCTCAGGTGCACCTAAAATCGATTTCAAGATGTTATTTTTGTTTTGTTTTTCCATCTATCTTTGATTTCATCTTTAGTTTTGAGAAGTGGGAAGAGTCCCACCTTTTATGAAAAAAACTTTTTTTCCTTGTATGATCATGGTTAGGATAGATATTATCAGAACGTTAAAGTTATGACCCCACCTAAAAAATGACTGGGACCCGAAAAACAAATAATCCAGTGAAGAAATGGACAGAAGACAAGAATAGACACTTCTCTAAGGAAGACATCCGACACAGGCGCTGAAGCGAAAAGATGCTCAACGCTCAACATCAGGGAAATAAATCAAAACCACAATTCTAGATATCATCTCACATACCAGTCAGAGGTATGGCTAAAATGAACAAATCAGCAGAATTATATAGATGCTGGAGAGGATGTGGAGAATGGAACCCCTCAGTAACTGTTGGTGTGGGAATGCAACCGGTGCAGCACGCTTCTGGAAAAACAGTGGAGGTTCCCAAAAAAAATTAAAAATAGACCTACCCTATGACCAGCAGTAGCACTGTATAGAATTTACCCGAAAGGGATAAGGTGAAAAAGGACGATAGTAGCACTTGTGGTCCCAATGTTTAGTAGCAGCACTCTCACCAACAGCCAAACAGAGCCTGGAATAAAATGTCCACTGTCCACGATGAACAAAGGAAATTGTGGCTTATATATTCAATGAACACATGTAAATGAGAAAGAATGAATTCATTGTCTTTTGTAGCAACGGATGGAACTGAGTAGGATGCTATGGAAATAAGTCATACACAGAGAAAGATATATGTTTTCACTTTTATGTGGATCCTGAGAAACTTAACAGAAGTCTATGGGGGAGGGGAAGAAAAAAAGAAAAGAAAAAAAAAAGAGGAGTGGGAGAGCCAAAAGGAGAGATAAGAGAGACTTAAAACTGAGAACAAACTGAGGGATAGGGGATGGGAGGAGGAGGTGGTGATGGGTATTGAGGAGGGCATCTTTTGGGATGAGCACTGGGTGTTGTATGGAAACCAATTTGACAATAAATTTCATATTAAAACAAAACAAAACAAAACAAAAAAATGACTGGGCACGTTTATGAGCAGAATACATACTTGTTATGCACCTAACCTAGGCACATCCCAGACAAGGAACCAGCTGAAGGAAACCTTGACTTGGTAGGAGTAGGAAGCTGCCGTGGCTCAGTGGATATATAAACCCTAAACACTTAGAATCTCTAATTTCTAATTCCTCCTCTACCTCTTACTTCTTGGATTAGTAGGAAAAGGTTGACTTACCAACTTCTTAGTCTCTTCATTTTAGAAGCTGTGTTGGGGTATAAAATTCCTCAAAGCCCTGAGGTCATGGTAGTAAAAGGCTTTTCCATTAGCCCCTTAGCCGCCTTGATGAGGAGATCCCTCCCTCCTTACCTGCCACATCTTTACATCCTGAAAACAGGAGAATGGTGCAAACGGGGGCGGTTGTACCCTGGATCCACACGTCTGTGGAGATGAGGCCATGATTGACTTCACCTGTTACAGTATCAGCGCCCGACACTTAGCACTTGTGTGAAGTTTAAACAGGAGACTAAATATAGATACTAGAGGGATTTTGTCCATTTTCTGGACCTGGGCCTTCATACTCTGATTATTCATAAGAAAGATCTTCTCTCCTTATGTTTACTTATTTGGCAAGAAAACGTAAAGAGTATTCTTGGGCCATTAAAAAACTCTTTCTGCCCTCAAAGAGCACATTAGGCTCGATGTGTCCTCTGAGCTGTTGCTCTTGCCTCTGTAACACTTTTCAGCTTTTTTTCTTGTGTCCTATTATCCAGGTCCATACAAGTAAAATACCCGCCCCCCTCCAATTTCTCCGGACAAACATCTCTATGAACCATGAAGGTGAAATAGCAAGAATATACCATGGGTGAATTAGTCTGCTTAAGACTGGTTCTTTAGGATCCATCACAGTTTTTTGGTGTCTTTTCTTTAGGCTCGAGGCATGTGTTAATTTGTAAAACAGCATTGCTGGATTTGTTCTTGGACCATTTTGTAGATGTCTATCAGATTTTCTGAGGGAAAGTAGCTTTGTGTTGAGCCAGTGGTTCTCAATTGATGGAGTTTTGCTGCCCAACAGAGATGTTTTGGGTTGCTACAACTTGGGGGGGTAGGGGGTTGCTATTGGCATCTGGTGGGTACTGTTAAGCGTCCTACGAGTCACAGTACCTGCCCCCCGCTGCCCCAGAGTTAAGAATTATCCAGCCCAAAATGTCAGTAGCACTGAGGCTGAGACATCTTGCTCTAAATCAAGTGGAATGTGGTATGTGGTCATTTGAATGGAGAGTTTGGTTCCTGAGAAAATCTCTATGGAGATAACATGTACGTACAGAAATATATAAATGCATTATTGGAAGGGGGTTCTGAAGTAAAGTCAGAAGTATTTTAGGAACTTGTTATTAACTCAAAACTCTTAAAGAATGAGTACAGATGGGAAAAGGCAGGAGGTAAATAAGTTTGTAGAGGACTTATCCAGGAATGTTTTTAATTCTAAAGACTCCACTGGGCTGAAAAAGAGGTGAAAAATGTAAAGGCTCAACAAAGCTAACTGGTCAAGGGCCTTGGATTAGTAGTAGTGTCATCTGTCTATTCTTAAAAATGCTAGGAGAGGGGCGCCTGGGTGGCTCAGTAGGTTGAGCCTCCAACTCTTGAATTCAGCTCAGGGTGTGAGCTCATGGTTTGTGGGATCGAGCCCCGCATCGGTCTGTACACCGACAGCACAGAGCCTGCTTGGGATTCTCTTTCTCCCTCTTTCTCTGCCCTTCTTCCACTCATACTCTTGCGCTCTCTCTCTCTCTCTCTCTCTCTCTCTCTCTCTCAAAGTAAATAAATAAACTTAAAAAAAATGTTAAGGGGAGGGGATAGAACTAATAATGGCAACATATAGGCTGGACCCCCATGTGGCAAGGTATAGCATAGGGTCTGTGACAAATTCGCTGCTACTGCCACTTGCATGCCTCCTGGAGACAAAGGGTGTCTCAAAGGGGCAATTGAGAATGGCTTCTTTAGTTTGGCAAGTGCCCCAAAGCCTATGACTAGACAGAAGCTCCACTGTGAAGGCCGCACAGTATGGCGGACGGTGGATTGTGAGGTGGACCCGCTTCTTTGAGTAAGCATTAGGGAAAGAACTATATTTGAGAAGGAGTAGATTCCTAAAAAGAGCCCTAGCATAGTAGTCAGGTATGTAAGTTCCAGAGCCACATGGGGCTGGGTTCAAACCCCAGCTCTGCTGTTTATCTTCTGTGTAATTCCGAGCAACTGTAACACAGTCGAATAAGTACAATTCCTGTCAAGAGTGTTTCCATTTTTCCATCTTCTGGTGTAACTGAAATATACTCTTTCTCCCCTAGTTGCTGGCCCAACACTGGAGACGTTTGTGGGATCTGGCATTAACACCATTCTTATCACAAACCTCCTCAGTGGAATGGACTACAACGTGAAAATATTTGCCTCCCAGGCCTCAGGCTTCAGCGACGCTCTGACAGGCGTGGTGAAAACACGTAAGACCGATGTCCCATTGCCTCAACCCCTGCATGTGGTTTTGCTGCTTTGTTTTCACTGTAACTCAACCCCTGCTTTAACTTGGCGGTTGTTTTTTATTTTCCTCAGCATTGCCCTTTCTGGATGGTGTTTCATGGAAAGAAAGGTGTGCTCCTTACTCAGGGCTGTAGTTCAGAGTCCTGGTTGGCAGGCGGAATGTCAGAACCTGGCATGCAAATATACTTGATGGTGGCGGATAGGATTTCCTTCTGGAAAGTCTTTGTTGGCATTTTTCACATTAGGTGAAATTTTCCAACCAGTCTGTAGCGACATGACCAACGCCAGTCAAAGTTGGACCAAAGTTTGGCTTTTCTCAAAGTCTTTGCCCCTCCCCACTTATGTGAACACACACACACACACACACACACACACACACACACACACACCCCGTCCATAAAAGATACAAAAAGGACTTCCTTCTGTACCTTTTAAGGGTTTTCACGCAGTCTGCATACCATCTGGGACTTCTCGTTGGCCACGCCATCTGTTTAATATATTTCTTTAAATTGACTTACATTTTTTTACTTAAATACTTTTCAAAACCCACATAATTACTCTAAACAAAAGACCAGGATTTTCAATACACACGAAAGATGATACATAAATGACACAAATAAAAATGGTGTGGCTGTGTGCTAGTTGACATCATCCTTAGTGCTATCAGCTCCACCTGCCCCACACTGGAGAATGATACTTATGGTATAATCAAAAGTAGAAACCTTAAATTTGCTACTTAATAGCTGTGACCTTGAGCAGGTTACTAAACTTCTCTGAGCTCAAGTTCCCTCAACTCTAAAATGAAGACAATATCCTGATTGTGAGGCCTCCAGAAATAATGTGTAAAAATGATCTGCCATATGGCAAGCACTAGTGAATAACCATTATTATTATTGTAATAATTGTGCTTTACACCTTTGGCCCATATGTCATTGTCATCCCTAACCAAATAATTAATCAATGAATGGAACAATCAAGAATGAGGCATATATTAAACCAGACCCCAAGCCACCTCTATTTGGCCACCTAAATTTTAGATAGGTCCAGGCTTTTCATTAGAGGAGGCTTCCTGAACCTTTTTTAATGGAATATCTTAAGACCTTAAAGGCTAGATTACAGAATCAATTTAATCTCAAAAGAAATAGTCTATCTTCAACAGATCTAGGAAGGCCTTGGTCTATGGTTCTGATCTTGTACTTGGCTGGTAAAGTAATGCCATTCTGGGCATTACAGTAACCTCCAAGTGATTTCCCTCTGTTGTTCTATTACAGCAATCCCATTCCTTAGGAGCACCCTAGAATCCCCTGTGCACTTTCCCACTCAGCCTCTCCCCTTCACTAGCTGATTTTAATTTCCTCCTCTAGACTAATTACCCTTTCTGTCTGGGCCACTTTTTCTGTCTCTGTGATTTTTTTTATTGACCTCTCTTCTCCCTGCTCTGTCTTGTTTCCATTTATCTTCCTTTCTTTGCATCTTTCTTTCTTCTGTTCCATCCCTCTTCTCTTCTTCAAGAAGTATGTTGGGTATTCCAAATATATTTTAAAACATTAAGAGCATTGAATTGTTTTATATTCTGTCTTTAAAGGAAAAGTTAGATGGGCTTATTATTTGTTTTCTCTCTTTCTCCCAAGCAAAATAAAAGCCCATACAATGGCAAATAAGTTAATCTAAGGTTTCTTTAAAATTTGGTGTGGTTACATAAATCATTAACAATTTCCTTTTTTTTATGGAACAACAGGGCTCATTTATTTGGCCTTTGGAAAAGAGGTCTTCTCTCTCTGGTCTAACAGAAAAGAACAATGTGAAAATGTAAATTTTGATTAGATAAGATTTTTTTTTTTTACCATTTTTAAAAATAATTTTAAACTATTTTTATTATAAAGGTAGCTAAGAGAGAGCGAAAAGTAAGAAAATGATGTGGATGAAAGTCAGAGGTCATTGGAGAATATACATATTAATTTTTAATTGTGTTCTTTTTGAGTCTAAATGATAAATGCCAGATACTTACTCCTTTGTTGTATTGGAGAAATACTATTTTTATTGCTTCCCAAAATAACCTTTCTGTGAATCATTTTTGTATATCACAGTATTCTAAAATTAATAGGAATCTTTGTGTTTGATTTTTATAATTTTTTATCTGTGTTAAATCTTGCATTTTTTTACATTTTCAAAAATATGTTCATTTCCCTTCAATCATGTTTTGAAGGCCGGTCCTTATGAAACGCCTGTTTGAGTAAGGCTTCCCTTTGTCTATTTTGCTTTCCTTTTTACTTAAGCCAAGGCTATCCTTCAATGGTTGATAAGTGCATATTGTATTTGGTTTTTTGTTATAAAAGTATTATATATTAATTGTGGAATATTTAGAAAGCATAAATAAATAAAGAGAGATTAAAAATCAGATAAAAAAAACAGAATTTCACCATCCATTACATCTGGTCTTTTTTCTGTGACTATTTCCCTTTTTGTTTACAAGTGTAAAACAGACCATATTTATACATGTTTTGCAACTTCTCTCTCAAGTAATAAAATAGTTATCTTTTGTGCACTAATTTATTGTGAGTTCATGGATTTCCCACCACTGGCTATGGGAACTTTGAATTAGAATGTTATTGGGTTAAAGTTAATTTCAGACTTGGGGACATTTGTGGCGTTGTCTGTAGTGTGACATAGGTGTGTTTCTTTTCATTATAGTGTTTTTGGGTGTGACCAATCTTCAAGCAGAGCAGGTTCAAATGACCAGCTTGTGTGCCCGGTGGCAGGTGCATCGCCATGCCACTGCCTACAGAGTGGTCATCGAATCGCTCCAGGGTAAGTGCCACCTATCACGGATGATTTTGTCAAGCGCTCACGTACTTAGTTCTGTGCAAATCTCTGTGGACAACATGCAAGTAACAGACTAGAGCTCTCTTCTTGAGGAGCCAATGTTATATGATGGATCATGCGGGGTATGGAGTCAGAATGGCTAGGTACCGATTATTTAACCTCTCCAAATGATTGTTGTCTTATCTGTTAATGGGTATAACCACAGTGCTGATCTTGTGGCATTCTGGAGGATTACGTGGCGATAACTCCGCGTGCAACATTTGCAACAGTGCTTTGCCCACGTTAACCTCCAGAGAGTGGAGGCTGCTATTGGCAATAGGAGACAAATAGCCATGACTAACGTACGTTAAAATGATATGGTGTTATTATTTTAGTGTTACTCCATGGGGATCTCATTTTGATTTTAATGGTTTTCTTGCTGACTGACTGTCTTTATTTTGGAGGATAAATGGTGAACAATAAACTCTCATTTAAGAGATGGTTTAAGATCTATGCCATCATAGGCAGGTTTTTCAGCATTACTGTTCTCAAGAACATCTAAATTTGGAACTTTGTTTCAAAGTTGAAAAACTAGAAATGTCTGCCTATTTTCATTAAAAATTTGAAGAACAACAACAAAAGGCTGATTCCCAAAAAAGTAAGTTTGTAGGGACTATTATCAGCTTGCATAATATTCAGAAGATGAGATCAAATAATGAAAATTACTTTAATCTGATTTATCAGATTAAATACTGTATTATTGGTGCAAAAGATATATCTTGTTATTTGGGGGAGACTCTAGAAGACGCTGGAGAATTCCAAGTGATTCTTTTAATCTTTCAAAATTGGTAATAAAATTGTTAAAAAATTTTCTTTCTGGACAAATAATCATGGTTTTCCCATGATTATTTCTTATCCATTCTTGTTTAATTGAAAAAAGCAGGCTTTTTTTTTTTTTTTTTTTTTTTTTTTTTTTTTTTTGGCTCAGTCCATTGAGCATCTGACTCTTGATTTCAGCTCAGGTCATGATCCCAGGGTTGTGGGATCAAGCCCCACATTGGGCTCCACTCTGAGCGTGGAACCTGCTTGGGATTCTCTTTCTCCTTCTGTCCCTCACTTGTTTGCATTCTCTCTCCTTAAAAAAAGCAGGAAAGTGGAAAGCACAGGTTAGTAGAGAGGTGAGAGCATTTGGAAATACGCTGAGAATATGAGAATAGAATATGAGTGACACAAAGAGAGACTTCTGCCAACCCCAGCCAAGGCATTGTCTCAATCGACATGCTAAGCCACTAATGCCTTGATTCCCTATGTGTGATACTTCAAGGATCCCTTTAGCCTGGCATGACTAAACATATAGGAGTGGCTTTATGCTGAAATAAACACTGAGTGAGGAAATGTCAGGACAAGTCATATGGATTTTGTGGTTGTATTTAATATGATTTATGAGATGTTTAAGCAGAAGTACATGAAAGGTATGCTACTGTTTGAGAAATGACTACAAAATCTTGAGGAGTCATGTTTCACATATCTTTATAAGACAGGCTAAATCACATTTTCATAGAGAAGGGTTGACATTTAGTGGTATTTATTAAGCTTTAAAAAATTACTAATGATAAAAATCACACTCCTAAACTGCCCCACAATGCTTTTATCCTTTTGTGTCATTTAAGAAGTTGACATGAAGGGACATAGGCTCCTATGGATATTCATTGGCTTTCATAAAAATTTTAGTTATATAGACTGACATAAACATACATTGAAACTGACTTTGTCAATGGAATTAGTAAGCTCTATAAGTATATTTTTTATTTAAATGTTTTCATCTTAGCATATTTGCAAAATAGCACTGGGATTGTCATCAGAGGACATGATAGATGTGTGATAGCATTGATCTGGTAGTCTAAAACCTCACAAAGCTCTTTTTTGAAGCCAAGATCTTTGTTAACAAACAAACAAACAAACAAACAAACAAACAAACAAACAAACAAATGAGTCCACATTTCCTTCTGTCTTCAATTGAAGTTAACTTGTCCTCCCTTGGTATTACCTCCAGGCTGCCAAAAACCTCTTCAACTGAGCCTTACATTCAAGGCTCAATTAAACAAGAATGAGCAAAGTGTTGCTCAATTGGTTTTTCATCAACATTTATAGCTAGGAGATTTATGAGCCCAATTAGCTTACATCTCATTCATCCAGTTGTCTAACTGAAGAATATTAATTAATGGGCAGCAACAGTTTCTAACTGACAGTCTACCTCAAAGAGGAGTGTTGGGAGTGGGGAGGGAGTATGGGGATAGCAGTAGGGAATATGTTTAAATAGTTTAACATATAGTTTATTTAGATCAAGGGATAGTCTTCCTACTTTAGAGTAGGGAAAAATTCAGTTGCATTTCTTTTTTCTTTCTTTCTTTCTTTCTTTCTTTCTTTCTTTCTTTCTTTCTTTCTTTCTTTCTCTTTCTCTCTCTCTCTAACATTTTTTAACTTCCTTCACCCATTTCTCCTACCCCCCCCAACACCTGCCTCTGGCCACCATGAGTCTGTTCTCTGTATCTAGGAGCTTGATTTGAGGTGGAGTTTGTTTATTTTACAGAGAAATAAAATCATTATCCTGATTGGTGCCTTTGAAGGACTTGTGGTCAGATGCAGATTATTCCATGGGGAGATGAGTTTCAGGGCCCCTCTGTTTTAACTTTGTAGTGTCTCCCATTGGCTACATATGCTACCTGTGCATAATGTTTAGTCCTTCTATCCCAGAGGAGATACTAGAGAGAAATGGGATCTGACTCCTCCATGTGATAGAGAAAAGCTTTATCCCAGAGTGACGTATTTTTTAACATTTCTGATAAATTCTTACTGTTTGACAGGTAATTTTTTCCAGTTTTTTAAAAAATATAATCCCCATGGTCTGGTCACATGCACTTGTATTCTGAGATGAAGTCAGTGGAGAGGCCCTCGGCTTTGACCATAATTGCTGGTCAACTCTCTGGGCTTCAGTTTCTCTAAAATTGAGGCTTTTTTTGAGGCTTTTATCTAAGGTAATACCTACAAATTGCCAAGATTTTTGTGAATAAAGTGGCCAGGCTGTATCATTCAGGTTTGTTTGTAAATGGTAGGGATGCAGATAAAAGGAGCTTAAACAAAAGGGTCAATTTATTGACTACTGAGAAGTTTAGAAGTGTCCGGCACCAGGCACATCTGGATCTAAGTGTTCAAACAATGCCATCAGGATGAAGTCTTGCTCCCTTCTCTTGCTCTGTACTCATCCTCGGCCAGATTCTCTGAGTTGGCCCCAGTCGGATCCAGAATGACACCTCCCAGTTTACAGCTTAACCAGCCTGAGTCAAAAAAGAGCTTTTCTTTCTCAATAATTCCAACAAAAGTCCAGGAACTGAGTCATACTGGCTTGGCTTGGGTCACATGCCCCTAAATCTGTCATTGAGTTCAAGGGCATGAAATAAACTGGTCGGACCTGGTTGCCTCCCACCTCTGTATCTGGAGGGGAGAAGGGTTGTTACTCAGTTTTTTCCCAAATCATGAAGACCAAGAGTGGGGAAAAATAGATTCAAAGAAAGGGAGAATGGTTGCAAGACAGGCAAAAACAACAGATGTCCTCTACCCATTTAATATTATGACATTTTTTTATAGCCAAGAAGGAAAAAAAAGAAAGAAAGAAAGATTACCAGAAGGATGAGGTCCTCTCAGGAGAGACTGAAATAAATCTGTGTTTGAGTCACTCATCCATTTGCCAAATTAAATTGTAGGCTTTTGGTTAATGATAGGACAGACCAAGTCAGAGACTTTTGGTTGGTCTTAGGTAGCTCAGAACTCCAAGAGAGTTTCCGTTAGTTCTGTGGATGCTCTGGAATTCTGTCTGGTTCTCCAAGCTATTTTTGAGTTGACTTGGCATCCAAGGTTGGGTATATCATTTCCCTTTAAGTTCATGTATTTAGATGCCACATGATCCCAAATACTTTATTCCCTTTGTAGTCCCCATAACTTGGTGAATTTCTTGTTAGACTGCTTAAGGAAGATTTCAAAGAATGCTCAACTTGTCTTCTGTCACTGAATGTTGAAATGCCAATTTTGCAGTATCATCAACAGAATTGCAGCGTAGTGGAGAGCCTGCCTTACCAGACACCAGATCCAAAACAAAAGATCGTATGAAACAAAACATAGTCTCAAGATTAAGCTTTTTGAGGCAGTGACATTATGACCATTTTATTTATTTTTCAATGTTTATTTATTTTTGAGAGAGAGAGAGCGAGTGAGCATGCAAGTCGGGGAGGGGCAGCGACAGGAGGACAGAGGATCTCAAGTGGGCCTTTCCCTGGCAGCAGCCAGCCTGAGATGGGGCTCAGACTCAGAAACCACGAGATCATAACCTAAGCCAAAGTCAGACGCTTAACCGACTGAGCTACCCAGGTGCCCCGGCAGTGACATTACGATTGTGTGTCAGGGTATTTGAGAGACCTAGGGATTGGAAGCATTTATGTCATAAAATTCCAGCAGAGTATTCTGGATCCTGGATATTCTTTGCTTGTGCATCTCAGTAACTACTCATAGGACATTTTGGTGAGTCAAGCTGGTGGCATCGTTTTCAGCACAATAACCCAGAGAATGTATTTAGCCATGGTTCATAAGAATGAATGCACAAAGACAGAATTTCTTCTCCTGTTCCAAAAAAATAAATTAACTCCTTGCTTTTGGCACAAAGAGTTGAGGAAATCAGTCATCATTTGATCAGTTTAAATGTTTTCTTTTAAGGCTAAGCCATTAGACCTAAATCACACATGCCAAAAGCAACATGGGTACATCCCCATTCATGTAACCCCTCTTTGTTATTATTGGGAATTAAAGTAATATCATTTCCCAAAATTTTACAGTGCCTGTTCCAGTTTTCCCATGGCTTTGAGATTTTTATGTTGTTGCTTAACAGTAAAACCAATTTATATTCTATTGTTGAGGGTTGATAAAGTGCATGAACATCCATGAGAAATAGAGATGACAGAAAAGCACTTTTCTAGAATTGATTCCTGTAGAGTTCCTGGAAGCTTTTATGGAAATGGATAAATATCCATGCCATAAGGGTTTAGAAAATTTTTGTTTTATAGGTGACTCACAAAAGCTTGCAAGAGGCTCCAAAGTTGTGGGTAAGGGTTAGAAAGAAACAGCTCATGTGGGGTCCTGAACCTGGGAACCACAGACTGAATGGGACGGCAACAAAACAGAGTGCGGGGTTTATGAACATTTCCTTACTATCAAATTCCTGTCACAGCAAGATGTAATCTCACAAACACCTGGGAAAATTTTTAAGTCATTTTTAAAATTTTATTTTGAGAGAGACAGAAAAAGAAAGAGAGAGAGAGAGAACCAGCGGGGGAGAAGCAGAGATGGGGGGCTTACAGAGGATCTGAAGCGGTCTCTGTGCTGACAACAGAGAGCCTGATGCAGGGCTCAAACTGTAGATCATGACCTGAGCCAAAGTCAGATGCTTATCCAACTGAGCCAGCCAGGTGCCCCAACAATTTTTTATTTCATCATTTTGTCACATAGATAAGAAAATTTTTGAAGTAGACCTTAAGTCACTCTCAACAAATATATTACTAAAGATTATATGAAGTTCACTTTTGAAACTCCTTTATATTATCAATCATTAGAATAAAAAAATAAATTTCACGTTCCATTTAATAAGTGGCTTTAATTTACTTATAGTTTTAAAAATCTTACTTGTATTTTTCAAAGAAGGATTTTGTCCATGGACAAGTTTTAAATGATATATATCATGTCTGTTCTAGCAAATGTATGTTATAACACATGTATATTTTGTTCCATTATATATTAAATTACAGATTGAAATTTAATAGGTATTATTCTTTCAAAATAGAAAAATTAACATTTTTATATTTTGTATTGTTCTGTTTTTGTTTTCTATATTTTATTTATATTTAATAAATTTCAATTAACAGTTTGAAGGAGTTCTTTTTTAACCAGCAAATAATATGTGTAATGTGTTTAATCAATGCAGTTTTTTAACACTGGATTTTTAAATTCCTAGAAATAAAGTTATATAAGGCATTAAGTAGATGGATACAACTTATGGGTAAAACTAAGATCAATCTAGATCTTTTTAAATAATTGTTCTTTTCATGGTAGCATCAATTCTTCCTGTTAACCAATTAACTATGTAGTATAAAATAATAAATGCTCTATGCCAATGAAGAAAACCCATTTGAGACTCTTCAGTAATTAAAGCCACCAAGGTAGGCAGCTTTGTCCAATGGAGTGATAAAGCCCCGATTCGTAAGGGGTCCTCATCTGATCTCTGCAAGCTATCATGTTTGCTCATTTCATATGTACTCAGCCTCTCTGAAACTTTTATTTAGAAAAACCATTTAACTTACATTATTTTATGATATATTAATGGAAATTAAAGCAGTGTCCTCTGAGACTGTGATTTAGAGTTCTGAATTTAATTTCAGTTCTGCTACTTAGCCATATGGACTTGATTAAGTTACTAACTTTTCTGGCCTTCGGTTTCTTGTCTCTAGATTGGAGCAATTATAACTATTATAAGGATCAAATGAGCCGATACATGTAAAATCTTTAGGATAGTGCCTGGCACATGGTCAGTGCTCATTAAATGCTGGCTAATATTATCTTTCTGGTTATTGTATCACTAAATACAAAGCACAGAACCTGGCACATAGTAAGCCCTCAGAAAATGATGAGTATAATAAATCCAACTACCCTAGACTCCAGACCCAAGGGCCAGCACTAATTTCTCCAGAAAGGCGAAGCAATCTTGCTGTGAGTATGGGAATAAAGAAAGTAGCCAACAGTTAATCAGGTCTGCTAGGTTCTTTGTGCTTCTGCCATGGTGGAGACAAGAAAGAGAAGGTTCTTTGTGGAGATGGCTGTATACTGCTGTCTTCTTCATAGAACAAAAAGAACTTTGGAACTAGGGCCTTGAGCCACTGAAGTACCATGTTTTACTTACTCAGTTGTGATTTTGAAAGAATAGAAAATGATTTTCAGAGTAGAGGCAGCTTTCTCCAAGCTTCCTAGGAGTCTTTATTGCAGTTGAAAGAAATCATGAGTGTTGGTTAAAAATTAAGGCTGAGAGGTAGGAAATCGGACATTCTGGGGACTTCCTGGCTGTCTCAGTGACGCTCTAAGCTCTTGCCTGCATTTGTAGCAGTTCTGAAAATAATCTGGACCTGTGGATGAAGTTCCGGAAACCCTGGAGGAACACCTCTTCATCCACAGGCATAAGGATTGCCTAGCATCCTATAATTTCTAACTCCATACCTATATTTTTAGGCCACTGCCAAGAAGGGCATCTTTTTGCATGGTAGTAAGTTGTATGGGGCCAAAAGGATGTATTTTTTTGTCGATTTGTAACTGGTTGACTGTATTCTGGAGAATCATGTTTGTAAAAGAATATTCTAATTTCTAAAAAATATACTCACCTCCACACCAAGAGATCCAAGATATCAATTATGATGTGCACACACAATTATATGCATTAATAATTTTCCATTAAAGGGTTGATCTCTGGAGTCTTTTATTCTCATTTTTTTTAACATAGAAAATGTGATTTTCAATTACAAAATAATCAGTGGATGTATTAACTCTTTAGGAAAAGATACAGCACCTAAACAAGTGTAATTTGTTCTGAAGTTATCTGATTAGGCCATGCATAGTAAGTGTTTCAGAAGCAAGTTATCTACTGGTAGCTGTTTTTAAAAATTTCATGCATGTACATTTTGTTCTACTTTTATTTTAGATACAAAAAAGCAAGAATCCACTGTGGGCGGAGGGACAACCAGGCATTGCTTCTACGGACTTCAGCCTGATTCAGAATATAAAATCAGTGTTTACACAAAACTTCAGGAGATTGAGGGACCCAGTGTCAGCATAATGGAAAAAACACGTAAGTTAAGTGTGTCCTCTCCTGATCCCTGTCTCTGTGAACAAACAGTATTTTAGGCATCCTGTTTTGATTCAAAAACCTTATTCCATTTAGAAAAATGTTAGCTATTGCTGCCCAGGAATATCTGTAATACAAGTTTTTGGTCCTCTTCTCCAGTCCCATAATTCACCGCATGTGGCCCACTGATGTCATCTGTATGGGTTTTTTCCATCCTCCATATGCTTCACAAGGGACTATAAGGCCATATGATAGCAAAGTGCCTGAAACAATGACCTATATTGTGATCTATATCCATAAGAAACTTTTGTGGTATGTGGAGTGTGAAATGAAGTTTAAGGACCGGGTCCTGACATTCAAACAATGGCATATTACCACAGCTATGAGGTGGGAATGGAGCCAAGATGTTCCAAATGGCTGACCCTCGAGTTATTGCCTACTTAAGAGGCTCTTGCACTTTTTCCAAGTTGGCTGCAGATCTGATGTACTGAAGGGAAAGGCAAAGTATAAAATTAAAACAAAGCACTTTTTACATGTTCTAAAGACCAAGGAGAGTGTCAACTTCTTGGAATGGCTTTTAATAAAGGATTCCTGACGTAAAGGCCACAAACATGAGAATGGTTTTAATTGTAGTGAATTCTGGGAAAACGTTTGTGGGCTAACTCAGTATCTTGAACTTAGGCTTGAAGTCTCTGACAATTTAGATCTGAATAGGTGGAAGGCGATGGGTTTTCTTGGTAGCCCCTCTATCATGTATCTGACATTTGGAAAGTTCTATTGTCTATGTGGTCTGGCATAAGCAGGAAGAAATCATCAACAATGCGTGACCTTCAAATGAAAGCATAATAAATGGAATCATCCATTTTTTTTTCAAATATAAAGACTTCATTTCATAACTCTAAAATAGAGTTTGCATGTGCACTATATATGCATTTTATATTGCGTATGTAGTTTTGAGGTGTAACCTATATATCATAAAAGTCACCCATTTTAAGTGTACAATTCAGTGATTTTTAGTACATTCCAAGAGTTGTATAGTCAATACTACAATCCAGTTTTAGAACATTTCTGTCCACCCAAAGAGATCTTTCATACCCATTCACAGACAATCCTCTGTGTTTAACCTCAGGCAACTTGCTTTCTTTTCTTACACATTTGCGTTTTCTGGACATTTTATTTAAATGGAAATAAGGAATATGTAGTCTTTTGCATCTGACATCTTTCACTTAGCGTGTGTTTTTGAGGTTTATTCATGTTGTAGGATGTATCAGTAGTATGTTTCTCTTCATTGCTGATTAGAGTTCTGTTTTTTGGATAGAGAGGATCATATAATTTTAAAGTTATTAGGGTCCTGGTAGTGCACAAGATTTAGAGTCAAACAGGCTTGGTTGGACTCTTTCTCACATCTACAGCCTTGGGCATTTGTACATCACTGAGCTTCTCTTTGCTCGGCAGTAAAATTTAATACCTACTATCTCATGTCATATGGTGGTGAAGATCCAAGAGAACCTGTTGAGGAAATTTTCTACCTGTATCTTATTGAACAAGTATTTGTTATCACCATGACTTTCTTCTTAGAAGTCACAAACTGATACTCATGGTTAGATATCACCATCAGATATGTTTTCTCTGAGCCATACTTCCCTGCCCCCCGTCCCCCCCCCAAGCTTTAAAGTATTTGTTGAAGGTTCAAAAGATTTGACAACACAGGACAGGCATATATCCTCATGGTGCTAATCTGCTGAGACCAACTGCTGTCTCTTTTTACACAGTAAATGTGCTCTCAAGTTTGCCACTCAATGTTTAGGCTAGTTCTTTGCTCATATTCATTACTTGCACGACCTCTAAAAATTTTTGAGTTTGCGATCCCTGGTCTATTTCAACTCCCCCTAACCCTAACTCCACAACTGTTAACTACGAACCCAGGGTTAATTTGGATAGCTCTGTGTGATGTCAATGTTTTCCTTATATTGGGGATGTCTATCTTCTTGTAGCTTCTACCCACTGGTTCTAGTTCAACCTTTGGAAGCAATGCAGATCAAGACTGCTCTGTCTTCTATGTGACAACCGCTCACGTATTGAAGTCAAGGGCCATCTGTATGCCACATAGAGAATATAAATATGTGTTAATAGTTCGTTGTGGTTCTTCCCACCCAAAAGATTCTTTGGCCAGATGTTCTGCCCAAACATATTGGTCTGTCTGCCATTGCTTCTTATTGATTTGGTTCTTAGGATTTAGAACTTAGGATATGCCTCAATTTTCCACATTAAAGAAGATGGACAATTATAAAGATGACCCATTACTTCCACAGATTTTAAGATAAATAAATCTGGCTATGGAAGCATTTTATGGTGTTTTCAAGAGAACTTTACAATCCTAGTTTTGGTATTAAGATATCTCAATTTGTATTTTATTTTTGAAATGTTTTAGCTCAAAAATTGTCTCTAAAAGATAAAAATGATGTGTGTGTATATATATATATATATACACATATATATGTGTATATATATATATATATACACATATATACATATATATACACACATATATATACATATATATATGTGTATATATATATCCATAATAATGCAACAAAGGTATAAAGCACTTTGTTGACCTCCCTCTTTCCCCATTCTTTCTTCCCAGCTTGGTTTCCTTCAAGAAATTCTACCTGATAGATTCTATCCAATCTACATCTATATAGACATATATAGATATATTGATATATATCAGATATATATATATCAGATTTTTTTATGTTTCACAAATGGGATCATACCATGGTATTATATGTCTTGCTTCATTTCACATACTAATTAATCTCAGTTTCCATATCAGTAATATACAGTTATCTCATTTTTTAATGTTGATTTTACTTAAATAATTTCATTTGATTGTCTCTTAGAATTGGAAAAGACCTTAAAATTAAAATTCATCTCTTCCAACCTTCCTGCCAGTGAAGGAATTCTGTTTACAACCATCCTGAAAAATAATCAGACTGCCTGAACTCTTTCCCACTGTTTGGTGCTTACTATCTCCAGAGTGAATGGCTATGCTTAGTTGAGAGGTTTCCCTCAAATTAAACTAAGATAATAAAAAGACATTTCTCAGTTTTCCTTATACTTTTAATGTCAGATGAGAATAAGAAAAGAATATAGTAACATTTGGGATGTTTACCTAATGATGCCATAATTTTCTTGCCCTTTGCCACATGAACGGCTATGATAGGCACCGCTCTCACTGAACTTTCCTCTGTTCCTTTCGCTAACCACACTTTGCATGTTACATGAACTTCTCGTCCCTCCTCATCCAGGTTAAACTGATGTGGACACACGGTAGTCTCCCAATGTCCTGCCATTTGGTCCTCAGAACTGAAAGTTTTCCAGATTCAGTCTGAGCAGAACAGAGAGCAAATTAGATTCCACTGGGGACCATATCTGGGGGATGCAGGGTGAGAAAGGAGAGAGGGCTATTGAGCGAGGATTGATGGTCAGTCCTTAGTTAGGCAGAATGGAAATGACGTTTATTATATGTGTGAAAGCAGCCAGAGACTAATCTGAAATAGGTTGGCAAGATTCTTGCCTTAAATCAGCATTAGAACCACTTTGTAGTTGACAGTTTGATTGCATTGACTCCTGCTGGGTAACCTGAATTGTGGCAAAATGGTATTTCAAGCTTTCAGTCTGAGTTTTAGGGGATGGAGGGAGCCAGTTTTCACAGGCTGAGGCTGATTTATAGTAGTCGCTAAATTCTCCAAGAAGACAATAGTCAAAATCATTGACTTTCCTGAAGAACTATGACTCCATGACCTCCCTCTCTTCGCCACAGATGTGATGGCTAATTGATGTTCTCTTGCCCTCTCCTTTACAGAATCACTTCCTACTCAACCACCTACTTTTCCTCCGACCATTCCACCAGCAAAAGAAGGTAAAAGAATAATATGATAATGCTGTGATTTTAGGTTTAGGGTTTCTGTTGGGTTTGTTTATTAAACAAACATTAAAAAGTAGAAAAGAGTACAAAGAAGAAAATTAAAAACACAATTTCATATCCCAGAGGTAATTCCTTCGTGCATTTTGGTGTATTTGTGCCCTCTGATTAAGTAAAATTTTCATTTTGAGTATATTTTCAAATAGATTTTGCTCTCATTTCAAAGTTGGAATCTAATCTTGATTTAATTTTTCCTTGGAAACAGAGGACGGGGTTTTCTTTAATAAGCTTATAATTAGCATATCTTGTGATCCTTTTTAGCTTTAAATTCAAACCATAAATTTATAAAATTTTATTAATCTCAGAATTTAAGAGAACAACCACACCAGATCCTGGAGTATTACCTCACCTGGAGATGGTTTATTCTATATTATAAATAGCTTTAAGGGAATAAAGTTGCACTTAATAAAATAAAAACCCAGTGTGTTTTTTTTCCCTAAAGAAAGGAGAAAGGCACATTATCTCATAGAATATTTGTGTGCAGCTGGCCTAAGATTAAAAGATTCAGATTATTGAAGATTAAATTGTTTGTTTCATCATAAAACAGAGTTAGCCACAATGATCCATACTAATAAGGGGAAGAGAGGCATAGATAATCTGAAACAACACAGAATACCAACAAAGGACTACTAAAAAATGCTTTCAGTAGAGTAGGTTTTTCTTGGTGTGTTTTTTGCTTGTTATGTTGAAATCAGTAATACCCACTGATAATAGTTTCCCTGGGCTAGCGTTAGGGTACATTTCTTGACATGTACCTATGGGTGGCAGGAAAGTATAGAGAGAATTGTAGAGCAAGGCTGAAATCTTGCTTATGGCCTCAGCCCAAATGCATACCACGTTGTAGATTAATCTGCTTCCATTGTGTCCCACGGTTTTCTTCTGAATTTGAATCTCTCTGAAGTTACTGACTCAATAAGCAGAGGACAGGGTGCTCAGAGTTATAGTTTGGGCTTTCTTTTAATAAGTGAGCACTGGAGAGCATTTGTTGATACTTCTGTCTCTAAATTGCTTTAGCCCCTCATTTTTCTATTCTTTCATTTTCTGTTTTTGGGGACTGAGATTGGTGGATTTTTTTTTTCCTCTTCTGATTCCACCTGTTTGTTAAAAGCTTCTCAGTCATGAATAGGAAGTTGACCATAGGAAAGAAATGATTGTCAGGAAGTGTAATGATTAAAAGCTTAGAATATTATTTATACCTTTTCTATGGGAATGGGCTCTAGTTACCAGGAGGAAAAGATCATCTACTTTGTTGATTTGACAACAACTATGTTTTCTCCTTATCTCTGATTCAAAATTCATTCTTGGTCTTTAGTATGTAGAGCTGCCAAGGCAGACCTGGTGTTTATGGTGGATGGATCCTGGAGTATTGGAGATGAAAATTTCAATAAGATCATTAACTTTCTGTATAGCACTGTTGGAGCCCTGAACAAGATTGGTGCAGATGGAACTCAAGTAAGGCTAATAGAACAATCTTTTTTTTTTAATAAATTTTTTATTAAGCTTATTTATTTATTTTGAGAGAGAGAGAGAAAGAGCAAGTGAGCATGAGTGGGGGAGGGGCAGAGAGAGAAGGAGAGAGAGAGAATTCCAAGCAGGCTCCGCACTGTCAGTGAAGAGCCCAACGTGGGGCTTGAACTCACAAACTGTGAGATCATGACCTGACCCAAAATCAAGAGCCAGATACTCAACCAACTGAGCCACCAAGGCACCCCCATAGAACAATCTTTAACTCATTCTATGTATTAAAAAAAAAGTATCCCAAGCTATTGTTAGGACTAGTTGATATGGGTAATATAAGGATTGGATTTGACCTTGAATGAGAGAATAGACAAGTCTGAGTTTGGAAGCAGCTTACTGATGCGTGACAGAGCTTGGGAAGATGCTAATCCTTAAAAGCTATTGAATTCAGCAAACTAAGACAAGTTGGAATGGCCACATCAGTAGATGTTTATGTACACAACAAAGTAGCTCCTCTAAGGATATACCCAATATTTTCCCTGCCCTCGAGGACATTAAAATCTTGAAAGAGAGGGTTATGGCCACAAATTACTGTAGATCAAGTAACACATAAAGCAAATCAAATTTATTCATTCAATCAAATAAATATTTATTGAGGATTTATTCTGGTCAGGTAGAGTATACTGTCACAATGGTCATGACAACGTCCCCAGTTTCAGAGTGCTCATATTCTTAAAGGCAGGAAGAGGATGAGGATGAGAGGCAGATGTAAAACAGGAAACAAATAAATTCATAAAGTAGGGATGCAAGCCGGGTGCCTGGGTGGCTCAGTCAGTTGAGCGTCCGGCTTCAGCTCAGGTCATGATCTCACAGTCCGAGAGTTCGAGCCCCATGTCGGGCTCTGTGCTGACAGCTCGGAGCCTGGAGCCTGCTTCGGATTCTGTGTCTCCCTCTCTCTCTGCCCCTCCCCCACTCACACTCTGACTCTCCTTCAAAAATAAATAAACATAAAAAAAAATTTAAAAAGTAGGGATGCAAGCTATGAAAACAGTTATATGATTTAAGTTCACTGAAGATTCTCTTAAACTGCGTGGTCAGCAAAGACCTCTTTGAAAGGTGGCCTCCAAACTGAGATGTGGATGATGTGAGGAGGAGCCCGAAAGTAGAATTTCCAGAAAGGGAAGGTAGGAAGTACAAAGGGCCCAAGATGAAAATGAGTTTTGGGGCTTCAGATGCTAAAACTTGTGGCTAGAACATAGTGGGTAGGCACGTAGGGGGTAGGAAACAAGGTGGAAGAAAAAGAGAAAGCCAGATCATCTTAATTCTTGTGAAACATTGAAGGAATTGATGTCATCACAAATGCGGTGGGAAGCCACTGGAAAGCTTTAAGGAGAGATCCGATGTGCTTTTTTTTTTTTTTTTTTAAATGTTTATTTACTTTCGAGAGATAGGGAAGAGCACAAGCAGGGGAGGGGCAGAGAGAGAGAGACACAGAATCCACAGCAGGCTCCAGGCTCTGAGCTGTCAGCACAGGGCCCGACGCAGGGCTCGAACTCACCAACCGTGAGATCATGACCTGAGCCGAAGCCAGATGCTCAACTGACTGAGCCACCCAGGCGCCCCCCGGTGTGGTTTTTCAAAAAAGGTCATTTTTGGCTTTTGTGGAGGGAATAGTCACACGGGTAAGAGTAAGAGTGGAAGCGGCAAGACCGTTTGGGATGCTGCTCTCATGGTCCAGCGCAGAGATGAGGGAGGCCTGGGGGTGGGTGGTAGCAAGGAGATGCATGGATAGGAACAGATTTGGAATAGATTATGAAGGAATGGCTGAGGAACGTGGGATGTAAGGGGAACATAAGAGAGAAATAGATAAAGTGCTGAGGCATTTCGGGGAAGAAGAAACTTGTTGGGAAAAGCAGAGACAGGGCCAGTTCTGTAGAGATGGTGGCCTCCTCGGCTGTGGACCTTGATAAGCTGGTGGCAACTGAAGTCTCACATGATCAAAGAAAGCACTTTGAAGATGCTGTATTTACTCCCTCCATCATCATTCTGAAAAACAAACAAAACCCCAATAAATTAAAAATGGCTCCAGAGTTCCACCGGAATAAAAGCAAACTGTAAGAAATGAAGCCAGGGAGGTTTTATTGCAGTGTTTAAGAACACAGATTTTGAAGTAGGATTTATCTGGCTTTGACTGTGGGTTCTGCCAGTGGCCACTTTTGGGATTTGGGGTAAGGTAAGGGGCTTTGAGTGCCTCCATCTCCTCGTGTGTAAAACAGTGGAAGAGTAGTAATTACTTTACAGGTTTGCTTCATGAGGAAAGCCTTGTAAATAATCCACCTCCAATTATCTGACATTTGTCCAATTACAGGGGTGCTTTTTTTCCATCTGTCAAATGACATAGCAAAAGGCCTACATACTATAGAGAGAGTTTTGTGAGCCCAAGGGAGATTTTAAAAGATTAACTGCTTCCACAGGGCGCCTGGTTGGCTCAGTCAGTTAAGCATCTGACTTTGGCTCAGGTAATGCTCTCACAGCTCTGGAGTTCAAACCCCATGTCAGGATCTGCGCTGACAGCTCAGAGCCTGGAGCCTGCATCAGATTCTGTATCTCCCTCTCTCTCTGCCCCTCCCCTGCTGACAGTCTGTCTCCCTCTGAAAAATAAATAAACATTAAAAAATTTAAAAATAAAATAAAATAAATTGCTTCCATGGAATATTACTCGGTGATCAAAAAAGAATGAAATCTTGCCATTTGCAACAACATGGATGGAACTAGATTAGAGTGTATTATACTAAGTGAAATAAGTCAGTCAGAGAAAGACAAATCTAAGATTTCACGCATGTGTGGAATTTAAGAAACAAAACATATGAACATAGGGGAAGGGAAGGAAAAATAAGATAACGACAGAGAGGAAACAAACCATAAAAGACTCTTAAATACAGAGAACAAACTGAGGGTTGATGGAGGGGAGGTGGGTGGGGGGATGAGCTAATGGGTGATGGGCATTAAGAAGGGCACTTCTTGGGATGAGCACTGGGTGTTACATGTAAGTGATGAATCACTAAATTCTATTCCTGAAATCATTATTACACTATATGTTAACTAACTTGGATTTAAATTTAAAAAAATAATAATAAAATAAAATAAAACAAAATAGACTGTTTCCTGGGGCGTCTGGGTGGCTCAGTTGTAAAGTGTCTGATTATTGATTTCAGCTCAGGTCATGATCTCACAATTCGTGGGCTTGAACCCTGTGTAGGACTCAGCGCTGACAGCGTGGAGCCTGCTTGGGATTCTCTCTCTCCTTCTCTATGCCCTTCCCCCACTCTTTCTCTCTTTCTCTCTCTCAAAATAAATAAATAAACTTAAAAAAACTGCTTCTTGAAAAATACTTAGAGAACAAACATGCTCTTTAATGTGTTGTCAGATTTGGTATGTAACCTGTGTAAAATTTTAAGCCAAGGAAATTGTGTTTGGGTTAAAAAGGAAATTAAAATTATAGGTGAATCATGCCATTGTGTGTGCTCTTTGGCCCAGGGAAAGTTCTTTATATATGTGAAAACAAATACATCTTCTCTCTCCAGGTTGCAATCGTTCAGTTCACTGATGACCCCAGAACAGAATTTAAACTAAATGCCTACCAAACCAAAGAGACCCTTCTTGATGCAATTAAACATATTTCATACAAAGGAGGAAATACCAAAACAGGTAAGAACAACAACAACAACAACAAAAACTCAGCAAAGACCCAAAGTAATTAATTACTAGTAATTACTGATATGACAATTTTGGAGGCATAGTAATAAAGATTTTTTTGAAAAAGATTTTTCACTCATCTAAGAATTTCCTTCCAACCCTTCCCTCCCCAGTAAAGCAAAAGTGGGAAGGAATAAAATTGAACTGTTGTCTTCCTTTGTTTCAGGAAAAGCAATCAAGCATGTCCGAGATAGTCTGTTTACTGCAGAGTCAGGTACCAGGAGAGGCATCCCAAAGGTCATCGTGGTCATAACTGATGGCAGGTCACAAGATGATGTGAACAAAATCTCTGGGGAGATGCAATCAAATGGTAAGTTTTACACAGATAAATAGTAGTGGCCACCAGTCATGTTGCCATTGTTTTGTGAGTACAAATTTATAGGCTACATCAGAATGACTTTAATGTTTCTAAATCTTTCTTAATATTTAATCTAAACCTTTCTTAATGTTAACTGGACAATGTAGTTTTTAAAAACTTTCCAGGTTATAAATCTATTATTTTCCTGTATTTTCACTAATACTTTATTTACATACAGGACACCCTATATAAGAAATTATAGCAATTAAGTGCATTACTGTGAAAAGGCCCATTATAAAGGGCCAGGGAGGGACCCTGATCACAGGAACTCCTCAAGCCTCCTCATGTAAAATGGAAATTGGAATGTAAATGGAAATTGGAAAATGTAAAATGTAAAATGGAAATTCTCCTTGGATTATCATGAAGATTACATTATTTTTTTAAATTTCTTTTTTAATGTTTATTTTTGAGAGAGAGAGAGAAAGAGAGACAGAGACAGAGCATGAGCCGGGGAGGGGCAGAGAGAGAGGGAGACACAGAACCCAAAGCAGGCTCCAGGCTCTGAGCTGTCAGCACAGAGCCCAATGTGGGGCTCAAACTAACAAACCATGAGATCATGACTTGAGCTGAAGTAGGACGCTTAACCGACTGAGCCACCCAGGCGCCCTGAAGATTACATTATTTAAGACATGCCTGGCAAATAGTAGGTTAATATTTATTTGCATTGAAGCATGACCCATTTCAGGCTGCTAAACCTATTAATATCTGGGCTTATACATGGAAAAAAGAAAACTAAGATAAAGTTTCTCTGTTTCAACTCCATTTCATCCCATAAATCTTAAAATAATTATTATATATATGTAGAATAAAGATGTTCCTCCAATGGCAACGGTATCGTCTCAAGCACTAATTGGGGCATTGACCACCCTGGGTTTCTTTAAAATGGAAAACTGCCTTAGGGATGATGGAGTCATTATCATGTAGTGAAATATGTGCATGCAGAATTCTGGTGGACTGTGGAAAATGACTTTTCCACCCCCCACCCTGCCTCCTTCATAAACACATTTTAAATATTGGAACGTGTCTTATATTGCATTATTTGTATCTTGTACAGTTTGAAATAATCGAAATCCCTTCCCCTTCCCCAGGCTACAGCATCTTTGCTGTTGGTGTGGCCGATGCGGATTACTCAGAGCTGGTTAGCATTGGCAGCAAGCCCAGCTCACGGCATGTCTTCTTCGTGGATGACTTTGACGCCTTTAAGAAAATTGAAGATGAGTTGATTACTTTTGTCTGTGAAACCGCATCAGCAAGTTAGTTCTTTGGAATTTGTACTTCACTCATGTTGCTTAATGGTTGAAATATTTAATACCGGTTAAATCATGAGTCCTGTCTTGATCCAAGGAAAGGGTATTGACTCGCAAGCTGTTTATTATGCGGACATGAAGTTTTGTGGTTTTGAGCATTGGGAAGTAAACCTCCCCTCTCCCTGTTTTCGGGTTTTAGGTAAAGACTTTTCCTAATGAGGGGAGAGTCTGTGCCTAAAAACAGCCCTGCTTAAAAGCTGCAGCAAATGGCTTCAAATGTATTAAGACTGCTCATCAGGGTAGCACATTAGAAGCGAGACTTCTCCCAACACGTGCTCTCAAGAGACCACCATAGATTTTAATAGACGCGTGAGAGGAGAAGGAAGCCTTGTCCTTTTGGTTGTAATGGGCCAAGCGAGAGCATTTCAGTCTTTAGGAATCCACAGAAAACCATAGCCACATCTGGTTTGGATTCCCTTCACAGTTGACTTCCGCAAAGATTATGTTAGCTTCCTGTTCTCAGGATGGGGAAAGAATATGTTTGGAAAATATCTAAATTAGTGTTTTATATTGTTTGTTTCGTTTCCTAGCCTGCCCACTGGTGTTCAAGGATGGCATTGATCTTGCAGGTATGCATTATCACAGTTTTTCCAAAAGCAAATACATTAGCTCTCATTTGGGGTCCAGAATTTTTTCATAGACTAATTTTGAAATTTAAAATCCTTAAATGCCTGTGTTTTTCTTTCTTTCTCTGTCTTTTTAGGATTTAAGATGATGGAAATGTTTGGTTTGGTTGAAAAGGATTTTTCATCTGTGGAAGGGGTTTCTATGGAGCCTGGTACCTTCAATGTGTATCCCTGTTACCGAATTCATAAAGATGCCTTGGTTTCCCAGCCAACCAAGTACGTTTCCATTGCAAGATGTTAAAGCCAATCATTTGTTACTATAGCTCAATGTGAAAATTGTGTCAACTTGAAATACGCTATAATAGTTCCCAGTAGGATTTTCCATGATGATAAAAACAGGTGATGTTCAGATTGCTTTGTTTAGAAACCTCAGAGTCATGCATAATGCTGGTTGAATTTTAATATCTGTTAGTCTGAGGAAATGTATATAGATAGTTTACACTTACCTAGTGCTGCTGTATACCAGGCATCATTCTAAGTGATTATGTATATTAACTCACTCAAAGCTCCAAACATTTCTATGGATTAGATTCAGTTATTGTCTCAATTCTGCAAATAATAAAACTGAAGCACAAAGAAGCTAAAAGACTTGAATGAGATCACATGGTTTGTTTACTGAAAATACTGGGATTTGCACTTGGCAATCAGGCCCCAGGGCCCACACCCTGAACCATTTCATGCCAGTGCCGTGAATTCAGCTGATTTTTAATCTTTGAGAGATCACAACACCAACTCCATATAGTTGAAAAGTAGTGTCGGGATTATGTAAAAATCACATCATCTACTCGCTTTACAGTTTGTGATGCACCTATGGATTCTTGCCCATTTATAGCAATTCTGCAAACTCTGGGGGTACTTGAGATTGCAGGTTGGGAATTCCTGGTTCAAGGAATCATCTCTCAAGATGTTGGATATTTTACATTCCAAATCAACATTTGTTTTTGTCTCCAAATGCCTTCGGTATTGTAATGTGAAACATTTTCAAAGTCCAGATTTTGATGTAGTGCACACGTGTGCATGAAAAAATGGGAGAGAACGTATTATAGTATTAAACTCATCTATCCAATTTATCCACAAGTTGCTTTTCCATCTTCTTCAAAATATTATTTATTAAATTCTAGCCTATTACAGTAGTATCCAAATTATTGTGTTGTGTTTCATTTGGGGGAATAATATTTGAAATGAGATCTCTATTAGTAATTTAAACTATTTACTGTTAAAAGTATAGCTTCATTTTCTAGCAAATTGTTATAAATGCCTTTGACCTATATAGAATATATGTGGTTTCCGTTTTTTGTTTTCTTTTTTTACGTAGTCTAGGAATGAATATTAAATTTGTTTTTACATTTATTTATTTTTGAGAGACAGAGAGAAACAGAGCACAAGTGAGGGAGCGGCAGAGAGAGAGGGAGACCCAGAATCTGAAGCAGGCTCCAGGCTCTGAGCTGTCAGCCCAGGGCCCGATGAGGGGCTTGAACTCACGAACCGTGAGGTCATGACGTGAGCCGAAGTCGGACGCTCAACCGACTGAGCCACCCAGGAGCCCCTAGGAATGAATATTAAAATGGATATTTGAAAAGTTCTTCCTGGAAGCCTAGCCAAAAATGAGAATTGTCAAAGGGAAGATCCTCTGCCCCACTGAAATGGCTCATCCAGTGGGCAATGCTGTCCAGTTGCTAAATCCATTCAATGGCTCCCAGCCCTCATCTCACTCCACCTGTCACCAGCATTTGACAATTTCTCACTTCCTCCTCCAGGTTTCACTCTCCTCATTGGACTTCTGGGACACACCCTCTTGAGCTTCTGTCTACATTACTGGCTGTTCCATTTCAGTGCTGCCTCTTCTTGCCTCCACTTCTTCATGTTGGAGGGATTAGGCCTGGACCCTTGTTTTCCCTGTCTATACCCTGATGATCTTTTGAATAGTATTCAGCATTGTTTATATGCCAATGACTCCTAAGTTTGTATTTCCAGTCTAGACCTATTTCCCTAATTTAGACCTGTGTGTGTAATGGTGTACTACTAGACATCTTGCTTGGATATCTAAATGGGCATTTCAAACTTTGCATGTTCAAGACCACATCCCTGACCCTCACTCCAGAACCAGCTTCACTTATTACCTTTTTCATCTTAATGACAACTACATCTAATTAGTTTCTCATGCAAAATATTTGACACTTGCTCTCATGCTCTATATCCATTCTACCGAGGAATCCTATTGTCTGTGCCTTCTTATCACCTCCATTGCCTTCACCCCATATGAGGTACTGTCATCTCTTCCCTAGATCACTGAAGCAGGCTTTTAATGTTTTCTGCTTCTACCTTTGCTTTCCCAGAGTCTATTCCCCAAGAAGCAGTCAGAGTGATTCTTTTAAAATGTAAATCATGCCATTCCAAAATCTGAAATTGATTCTCCATTCCCCTTGAATTAAAAGTCAAAGCTCTTGGGGCGCCTGGGTGGCTTAGTCGGTTAAGCGTCCGACTTCAGCTCAGGTCACGATCTCGTGGTCCATGAGTTCGAGCCCCGCGTCGGGCTCTGGGCTGATGGCTCAGAGCCTGGAGCCTGCTTCCCATTCTGTGTCTCCCTCTCTCTCTGTCCCTCCCCCATTCATGCTCTGTCTCTCTCTGTCTCAAAAATAAATAAACGTTAAAAAAAAAAAATTTAAAAAAAAAGTCAAAGCTCTTGAATGGCCCATCTGGCTCAACCTTATTTGGGTACCTATCACCTCTTTGACTTTACTTCCTTCTTACCTGTCTCCTTCAGTCCATTCTCCAGACACATAAGGCACACTCCGTTTTGGTGTCTTTGTACTAGGTGGATGCCTTTGTCTTTGAGTTTTTCTTCAGATATAACCTTTTCAATGAACCTTTGCTCAAATGTAACCTTCTCATTGAGGCTTTGAAGTGAAACCAGCAGTGAGGACTTCAATTAACATTGCAAAATAGTACATTCCAGCATTCCCAATCCCTATTAAATGGCTCTATTGTTCTTGTTTTGTTTTTTGTATGACATGTTTGCCTTCTAATACACTGTTTAATCCATGCTGCTGGAATTTAATGTTTCTACAAAGAGAGGAACATTGTTGGTTTTATTCATTGACATAACTTAAGTGCCTATTACAATGTCTGGCACATAGTAGGCACACAATAAATGTTAGATGAATGAATGAACTAATATATAAACAAAATGAATGAAATGAAACATTTTTATTTATTCAGATCAAACTTTCATTTTCAAATTTATGCTAAATTCCCATATTCTCAAATTTATCCACCGTTATGGGGCTCCTACATGTGGAAAGGGCTATATTTGTTGCTTCAAGGAAAAAGTATAAAATATATAAGAGATCCACTTAATTGTTAGAGAGAGATAAGCTGGTGTTGTAGGTGTGGTTTCCTGGAGACAGATCCAGAGGTGGAGACAAGTATGCAAGGAAGTTGACGTGGGTATACTCTCCTGCAAGGGAACAGAAAGAGGTGAGATGAGACAAAAGAGAGAAACGAAGCTATGAAACAATATCAGTGAGACTCTAAGTTGCTCCACATACAGGAGTTCTGAAAATGGAGCTACCTCGATTGGAATGAGAGGCTCTGGTCTTCATATGCCCTCAAACACCAGCTATTGAAACAGCTGCCAAAAAAAAGTTGGCATGACTTTGGGGGAGGCTTTTCTTCTGCTGAGGCAATTTTAGAAGCAAGTTGGTATTTGAGAGTTGTCTACACACATCACTCCCAGAAGCAGGAGTTACATATTCTCAATTCTTGAAGGTAGATCTGGAATGGTACATCCCAGCACGAAGCATGCACAAGAATGCAACTAACTACAACTTACAGTAGAAAGTGCAAATGTCTTTATAAAACGACTGTAGTTGAGATGAGCACTAGGTGTTATATGTAAGTGATGAATCACCGAATTCTACTCCTGAAACCATTATTACATGATATGATAACTAACTTGGACTTAAATAAAATGAAAAATAAATAAATAAAAAGTCTGTACATAAACATTATTTATAATACCAAAACTTTTGAAATGACTTAAATGTTTGATAAGAAGTGACCAGTTAGATAAATTACAGAACAGCCAGACAAGAAAAGATTGTACAGATGTTAAACATCATACTTTAAAAAAAAAAAAATTGAAGGAAATACGAACGGTGTAGTAATTGCTGCTAAGAAGAAAGAAGGGGTAGCATTATATAGATTGGAGAAATACTTACAGACATTCTTTAAAAACTGGAGGGAGGGGCGCCTGGGTGGCGTAGTCGGTTGGGCGTCCGACTTCAGCCAGGTCACGATCTCGCGGTCCGTGAGTTCGAGCCCCGCGTCAGGCTCTGGGCTGATGGCTCGGAGCCTGGAGCCTGTTTCCGATTCTGTGTCTCCCTCTCTCTCTGCCCCTCCCCCGTTCATGCTCTGTCTCTCTCTGTCCCAAAAAAAATAAATAAACATTGAAAAAAAAAAAAAAAAACTGGAGGGAAATGTACCGCATCAAAACAGTGGTCACCTCCATGGGATTAATGGTGATCTGGTTTTTTTTTTTTTTTCTGTTTTTCCTAAATGTTTTAAGTGTATTTGCTTTTATAATCAGATAAATAACTTTTTTTAAAGGGATGCAATAAATGTTTTTTTTCCCATTTTTCAGGTATTTGCATCCAGAAGGATTGCCCTCTGACTACACAATGAGTTTTCTATTCCGGATTCTTCCTGACACTCCAGAAGAGCCATTTGCTCTTTGGGAGATTTTAAATAAAAATTCTGACCCATTGGTTGGAGTCATTTTGGATAGTAAGTGTATCTATTTACATATTTGCACCCACATGTGTGAGTACTGTGTATAACATACCATGCTGTCTTGCCTGTTTTGTGTACGATTGGCCTTGAAGAGCATGGGTTTGAACTGCCTGAGTCCACTTCCACAAGGATATTTTTTGGTAAATGTAGCGCAATATTGTAAGTACATTTTCTCTTCCTTATAATTTTCTTCATAACATTTTCTTTTCTCTAGCTTCCTTTATTGTAGGAATACAATATATAATACCTAGAACATACAGAATACGTGTTGATGGACTGTTTGTGTTAGAAGTAAGGCTTCTGGCCAACAGTAGGCCATGTGTAGTGAAGTTTGGGGGAGTCAAAAGTTACATGTAGATTTTCTGCTACTTGGGGTGTTGGTGGCCCTAACCCTCACATTATTCAAGGGTCAATTATATATTGTAGAGTAACTCATTTATCTTAAACCCTGAGTAAATACTGACAACAAATTATGTGCCAGTTGATTCATTCACTGATCCACTCATTCTTTCAACAAACATTCATTGAATTTCTACTATGTGCCAGTGCTAGGCTCTGGGATTTGGTAGTGGGCAAGGTGGAGAGAGAGAGACAATTACTGAGATAGTAAAAATTTTAGGAAGAGCAAAGTTGGTGGTGGGGGAATGGGGAAGGCCAGTGGGAGGGGAGAAACCAGAATCATTTTTTGTACATGGATATGATAAGTGGAAGATTCTTTTGGGGTGTCTTGACCCAGTTCCAGTGTGTGTGTGGGAGGGGTGTCGGGAGGGTGGAGAGTTTTGCACACAACATCAAACAGTTCTCAGATACCAGCAGGATGTCTGAGAATTCAGCTCAATTCTAATACTGTCAACCCAGACATAGCATCAGATTCCGTAGGTTAACGGTTCAGTCCCATAAGACTGTATCCTGCCACCCCTCTTTCAGACTCCAGTTGCAAGCCAGGCTGTTACCTGTGTTTCTGGTTGGCTACAAATCAGAAGTTTTCCCACAACATGCCCCCCGCCCCCTGCCCAAAGAAAATCAATCAATCCCACGAGCTTGTCCTTGGATTTGATTAATTTGCTAGAGTGGCTCATGGAACTCAGAGAAACATTTTGCCTGCTAGATTACTGCTTTATTTTGAAACGATATAGCTCAGAGACAGCCAGGTGAAACAAATGCATACGGCCAGGTATGTGGGAAAAGGCACAGAGGGTCTCTGCCCTCTCCAGGCATGCCACTTTCCCTGGTCTCCATGTAGTCAGCAACCTAAAAGCTCTCTGAACCCTGTTGTTTGGGTTTTTATGAGGTTTCATTAAACAGGCGTGATTTATTAAATCATTGGCCATTGGCAATTGAACTCAATTTCTAGCAACTCTCCACTCCCAAGAGGTGGGAGAAGAAGTGGGATTGAAGGTTCCAACTGTAATCACAGGATTGGTTCTCTTGGCAATCAGCCCTCCATCCTTAGGTTGCCTAAGGGCTTTCCAAAAGTTACCTCATTAATGTAACAAAAGACATCTTTGTAGCTCTTATCACAGAAAATTCCAAGTGCTTTAGGAGCTGTGAGCCAGGCACCATGGATCAAGACCAAATACATATGAGAAATACTTATTTGTTCATCTGAATGACCAAATATATATCACAGTGCCTATTTCGTATCCCAGAAAAAATGCCAGATTTGCAGCAACAGATTTGGGGAAGAATTCTGGGATGGGGATATAAATTTGCAAGTTGTATATGTGTGGCATATAAGCCATGATACTGTGTGAGATCATCTAGAGAGTGAGTGGGAAGAGAAGAGGTCTGAAGACAGGGGCATCCCATTGTTTGGAGGTTAGAAAGTTGAGGGGAGCCAGTGAAAGAAGCTTCTCAATCACATGCTCTTGGATGTCACCCATGATGATCATTTAAGAGGATCATCAGGTTTTCGGTTAATGTCACTAAGTTTTCTAAAGACGTTTGTAGTTTAGGATTCCAATCAAGCTAGGAACCAAAATTTGGTGGCTATTGTTAGGTGCTAACTCACAGCCAAATATGATATTGTGAAAGCATTTTGCATGCATACTGAAACTAAGGGAAAGCCGTACATTAAAGGGGTATAAATAATTAGCTCCCTATGCACATGAAACTTAAAAATCAAGAAATCTCTCAAAATGATTAAGACTAGCTCATTCCCTTTGATATCACAATGAATAATTACCGTGTAACCTAGGAATTAATTAGTGAAAAAAAATGCCTTTTTAAATTTTTTGTAATATAGTATTCCTTGTAACATGAAATCCTGAAGATTAGGAAGATTTCATTTGTTTGTGGATTTAGTTTGTTCATAATAAAAGGCATACTGGAATATCACTCTTCTGGAACAGTATAAATTGCATGTCCTAGAAAAGCTGGTTGCTCCAGTGGGTCAATACAGCAAAGGGTCTGGTTTCTAGGTCTTAAGATATGATTAGCTTTATTCTCCCTTTTTGTCCGCCTCTAGTCCCAGCTTCAGACAACCGTCTCTGAGCAAGGTGTTGGGGATGAAAGTACAGGGAAGAAAGTACAGAGGAAGAGTATATGTAGGGGCCCAGCCTCACCATCATCACCACATGGTTAACTGGCCAGCTGAAAGCCTGGGGCAACCCAAGGACTATAGATCATTTCCGTACTTACTCATCACTCTGTTCTAAACACAGCCTTAAGGGACGCCTGGGTGCCTCCGTTTGGGCTCAGGTTGTGATCTCACAGTTTATGTGTTCAAGTCCTGCGTCGGGCTCTGTGCTGACAGCTCAGAGCCTGGAGCCTGCTTCAGATTCTGTATCTCCCTCTCTCTCTCCTCCTTCTCCACTCCTGCTCATGCTCTGTTTGTCTGTCTGTCTCTCTCTCAAAAATAAATAAGCATTAAAAAAATTTTTTTTAAATATAGCCTCAAAACAAAGGATGCATTATTTTCAGTCTTGAATTTTTTGTAAAAAGTTTTAAAAAAATTTTTTTATGTGTTTATTTTATTACTTATTTTTGAGAGAGAGACAAAGTGTGAGTGGGGGAGTAGCAGAGAGGGAGACACAGAATCTGAGGCAGGCTCCAGGCTCTGAGCTGTTAGCACAGAGCCCGACGTGGGGCTTGAACCCACCAACCACAAGATCATGACCTGAGCCAAAGTAGGATGCTTAACTGACTGAGCCACCCAGGCAACTTGAATTTTAGAAAAATTATTTACCCATTATAATACATTCTAAACTTTATTTTTCTTTGATTAGATGGTGGTAAAACCTTAACATATTTCAACTATGACTACAGTGGGGATTTTCAAACAGTTACTTTTGAAGGACCTGAAATTAGGAAAATTTTCCATGGCAGCTTTCACAAGGTGAGTAATGCTTTGTACACATATTTTCTTTGTTTGCTGTGTGCAAAGCAACAGAGACATATATTCTTTATTCTATTTGTTGTGGACCAAGCAGCAGAGAAGTGTAAAAAAAAAAAAAAATCCCACGGAGCTTTAGATCTCATATTTTCATTGGAGTAAGAATTATCTGTGGGCTTATTCTGGTTTGGTAGTTCTAAGATGCGACCCCAAGCTGTGCATTTTTATCAGGTACCCAAAAAGTGGTCCAGGCTCACACTTAGAGGAACAATTACAGGGTACTGTATTACTAGGAGGACAGTTGTTAATTTGCTACATGATGTGTGATGTGGAGAGGACTGCTGGTCTACCCAGCCACCAGTGTAGATGAAAGCCCAGTCAGCTAAATCATGTTAAAACGTGAAGATAGTTTGTACTGATATTTTTACACATACACAGATAACCCCTCACTACCATTATAAAAGTTATTGTGAGGAAGAATTTTGTAAAACCTGACTGACTGTAGTTCTCATTTCTACCTGGTATTTGTGATAGAACTCTGCCCCTTACCACTTCGTATCTCTGAAACACTTACTTTTGGGGTTGCAAGAGTACATCCCACATTTACTGTTTCCTTTGTGCTTAGCAAATGACCCCACTGATCTCTGGGCTGTGAAGGAATGCAGTCTGCCAAGACCACAGGGAGAGCAGCATTTAGAGGTGGTGCTGCAAAAAGCCTTGCCTCTTGACCCTCCTTCTTGAGTGTTCAGTGAAGGAAGGAATGTTGCAAGCAGTCTTCCTCTTGGCTTCTGTCTCCTGACCTAGATCACGGTCAAGTCCTAACTGACACAACTTTGCTACTTTTTGGAGTTTCAACTACCATAGCTGCATAAGAACAACTGCATACCAACGTTCTTAATCGTCTTTGCACAAAAACAGTTGCATACAAAAAACTTTATGTTTAAAAGAACTGTACAACCAGAAGTAAAGTATCTTAAAAACATGAGATACAGGTAGAGATTTATTAGTTCATGATTCAAAATAGTTCCATTAGCATCTCTTTGGATTTATTGTCATTTACTCACCACATTCCTCTGGGTATGATTCGTTCTTGGTTAAGCAGAGTCCATTGCAAAGCGGTCAAGAAAAATTATAAGGGAGATGAAAGCATGTGAGATCCGTGAGTATTAAAAACCACATGGCCGGGGGTTCTTGAGACTGCTGCTTTGGATTCTGTGTCTCCCCCTCTCTCTGTTCCTCCCCTGCTTGCTCTCTCTCTCTCTCTCTCTCTCAAAAATAAAAAAGATAACACACATTTTTACAAATCCTCACAAAGAATGTATACACTCCTGAATATATTGCTATAGACCTGAAAATTCTAGAAATTTCACTTTGAGAAAATTGAGCCACACATTAAGCCAAAAGGCTTTATTTCTTTTGGTCCTGGAGTCACCAGAAAGAATTCCTCCTTCCTCTTTAGATTCTAGATCTCCTCCTCTCTTCATCTTAAATTAAATAAGTATTATGAAAATGAGGTTTGTGAACAACTGGAAGGTACCATAGATAACTTTTGCTGGTAAATCAGTTAGCATTTTTTATTTTAATATTTTCATGTTCATTTCCACGTGCGTTCAGAAAAGGTATAACTAGTGCACCCATCCTGTCATTTCAGGATATTGCTGCTTTAAACATGTTTTTAACATTTTTTAATGTTTATTTTATTTCTGAGGGAGAGAGAGAGAGAGAGAGAGAGAGGGAGAGAGAGAAACAGAGCATGAGTGGGGAAAGGCAGAGAGAGAGGGAGGCACAGAATCTGAAGCAGGTTCCCAGGCACCCCAGGATATTGCTGCTTTAAAGAAACACTAGATTGGGAACGCTTTTGAAGTCATTTTGAAAGAAAATGTTAATTAAATAAAGATAGAAGTGCTACCTGAATGTGGGACAGTCATGGTGGTAGTAAAAGTAGAACCTTTCTCTTGTAGCAAAATGCATAGTGCCAGAATTCCTTCCCTTCCCTTTCCTACTTTTTAGTGATGAATCATGCAGTTATGTAAGTTTGCTTGATATTTCTTCCTGCCTCTTACCTCCTGAAACATCTTTACTTTTACCCAGATACACATTGTTGTCAGCAAGACTTTGGTCCAAGTGGTTATTGACTGCAAGCACGTGGCTGAGAAGGCAATAAATGCCTCAGCTAATATCACGTTGGATGGTGTTGAAGTCCTGGGAAGAATGGTCAGATCAAGGGGACCAAATGGAAATTCTGCACCAGTAAGTGGATAAACAAGTGAAGCTGTGCTGTTATAGGGGGAAAACAAGGGTTTTCCAGGGGGGAAATTTGGTAAGAGAATGGATGGATGGATGATGGATGGATAGATGGATGGTTGGGTAAATAGATAACAGCCTCTTTAAATGAATGAAAATATACATTCAAAGTTCTTGGCAGTAAACCTCTGCTATATTGTAATAAGGATAATGTTCCAGGAATTAGACTAGTGTGTTTTCTAAAGGCATTTTAAAATGCATATGGTAAAATATTCATCAAATGGTTTATGGCATAAATGGTTTGTTAATGAGAATCGAAACTGTAAATCAGACCTCTAAATAAGCAAATATAAATTCGTACAAAATATATGACTATAATACACAGGAGATTTATGTAAATTTCTCATTTGGGTTAGATTTGGGCATTTTTAAATGAGATTTTTATTATTGGTAATGTGAAGTTTACCCTTTAATCATTAAGTTGTTTAAGTAACAAATCATTTTAAGACAATATATTTTCATCATATAGCATAGAATTTAAGACTAAGAGACTTCCAATTGGCAAAGAAATCACATTCCTTTCTTTCACTACCCACAAAAAAGAATAGTGTACATAAGCTTTTCTTTTTACACCTTGTGTTCACAGCCAATTAGCGACATTCTCTCATTTGAGTCATTCTATAATTAGAACCAATTAGCCTAGAAGGCATTTTATTCTTGGAAGCAATTCCAACTATTTTAATGAACATTTCTATGTAACAGAATAATCAAGTTAATTATGAGTCACTATTATTGTCTTCCGCTTTCTAGATTTGTAGAACTAGCCAGCAATATGGAACTGGAGAATGCCTTGATGGTTTTCAAAGTCTTTCCAAGCTGAAGATCACTTTATACAAATGAAATCTTCTAGTATGTCAAATAAATAAATAAGATTAAAACAGTCTCATGCTAATTGAAGGGGAGAGAGGACATGGAGGAACAGGTGTCCCCACCCTTCAAAGCAGTTCTGTTCAAAACAGTTTCAGAGTGGTCAAGTGATTTCCCCCCGGACACTTCGCTATTTAGTGGCATTTCTCTTTGTAACAATACAAGGGAAATCTTTGTGTATATAGGGAAACCTTAATGCTTTCAGACCTTGAGAGATGTGTGCTGATTAGCTTAACAATTAGTGTTGATGTGTCTTTAAAAATACTTTTGTTTCTACTTTCCTTTGGAGAAGCATGGATTAGATGTTCAGAAAGAGAGACTATGAAAGCTATGGAAGGCTCTCTTATTTTCGGTTATGGTAAGGGACTTTTAAGAATGCTTACATTAGTGCAATTGTTGGGTCATAGGGTAATTCTATTTTTAATTTTTTGAGGAACCTCCATATTGATGGGCAGTAAGGAGGGCACTTGTTGGGATGAGCACTGGGTGTCATATGTAAGTGATGAATCACTGGGTTCTACTCTTGAAACCATTACTACACTGTATGTTAACTAACTTGAATTTAAGTAAATAAATTTTTAAAAAGTATATTTACATTATAACCTTTTGCAAGGATAGTGCCTAAAGTGAAGAAGGAAGCCCCGTGCTCCTCCCAAAGCCGAAGTCAAAACAAAGGCTTTGAGGGGCAAGAAAGCAGTGCTGAAAGGCATCCACAAACACATCCACACACATACACACACACTTCCTAACCTTCTGAGGGTCCAAGACATTGTGTCTCCAAAGGCAGCCCAAATATCCTTAAAAGAGTGCCCCCAGGAGAAACAGGCTTGACCAATATGCCATCCTCAAGTTCCCCCTGACCACCAAGTCAGCTATCAAGAAAATAAAAGTCAACAACACACTTGTGTTCATTGTAGACATCAAGGCCAACAAGCACCAGATCAAACAGACTGAAGAAGCTATATGGCATTGTCTTGGCCAAAGTCGACACCCTGATCAGGTCCAATGGAGAGAAGAAAGCATATGTTTGAATGACTCCTGATTATAATGCTTTCAATGTTGCCAACAAAATTGGGAACATCTAAACTGAGTCCAGCTGGCTAAATCTAAATACAGGTGTTTTTTTACCATAAAAACAAGAACGTTTATATTATATTGAGAAATTATCAACTCTTAATGTTTAGTATTTCATACTGATTAAGAAACACACCATCTTCTGCTTCATAGAAGATACCTTTTGATAGCACACTCCAGAATTTATAAGACTCCATAATTAGCAAACTAAGGATATCTTGCGGGGATAAATGGATGTCTATAGATAGATGCTTGGATGGGTGAACGAATAGACTGCAATTTAAGAAAGAGAAACAATGCTAGCCGTTTGAGATTCTGGACCCAAGTCACTTAGTACTATTATTTTTTTTTCATTTTAGAAATAATGTATATAAAATCCCTGACACATAGTACCATTCAATGAAGAGCGGTAGTTATTATTAATGTCAATATTACCTCCTCCACCTTACCTTTTCTAAACCTCTAGTGCTTGTTTAACACTCAGTTATTTGTAGCTATCTATTATGTTCTTGCACTTCTATTTATCTACACTTTGCCCCTCTAGCCAGAGTATAAATCCCTTAAAAGAGATACCATGCCATGGTCTTCATTTACAACTACCACCTTCTACCCCACATCACAGTATCTAATAAATTTGGATCAAAGGAGTAAGCTCTCAAGACATACTTGATAGACATTAAGTAGAATGTCATCTATTTGAATTGGATCGTGTCTTTTCTTAAAATGTTGTTTCGTATATATTGTATTCCATATGTGGCATTGACGGTAGTCCAGTTATATATATATCCTACCTTCTTCTAATTTGTATTTTACAATTACAGTTTTATAATTATAATTACAATAATTACATTTCAAATTAAGCTCTCTGTAATAATTGTACTCCAAGTATATGACCAATTATATATCAAAGAATTTATTTCTGAAAGCAAACGTGCCTGTAGGTTTTAAATCTACGGGCAATAAATCTTTACTTTTGGGCACGAAAGAAAAGCAATTAAACAGAGCACCCTCTGTGGTAACTTCCAGCCAGTAGCAGACAAAGGGGAATTTATAGAAGTCAATAATTAAAGAGTTCTTTGTAAGGCTCCCAAGGAAAAAGTTGTGGCTTTTGTTAGAATCTGGAAGTCTACAAAGGATCACTAAATAGATTTTCAGTGTGCCCACTTATTAAAGAATTTGATTACGTTGAAATGGATAATATTAGATTAGATCTCAAGAATGTGATCGGAAACTCACTTGTTCTTTTGGGTGATTACTTCATTGTTTCAGTGCAAAGCAAAAAGAGGTTTCAGTCTGCAGCTTTCAACTTAGAAGTCACAAATTAGTAACATAATTTTGATAGATATCTGTACCCCAGTACTCAGCAAAAGGGAACACGTAATGTGCAAGTACTGGATTATTCCAGGTGGAGTAATTGTCATATAAGAGAGATGAGTAGTTTATAGGCCAGCATTCGCTAGCAAATTCCGCAGTGATTCAAAAAATGCCAGATGATGGGAAAACTATAATATTCAGTCTTTAAAGAAAATAGATTCTTCTTAAACCAAAGTTGAGTGGAAGAGAGATGAGTGGATTTAGGGATACAGTAACTACTGTATTAAAATTGCTCACATTCGTAATAAAAACAGCTTGTGTTCAGTAATGTGAGATTTTATAGTTCCTAGTGGGACTAAGCTAAGAAGCTGGCTTAACTAAGCTGTCAAAACACATGTGGGAAGAAACCTAACAACTGTGCTTCTCCTTTCTGTTCTCTCTCCTAAGAAGTTTCTTCTTTTTTGATACCTGATAAAATTATAATGCTGCCAGATGATCCTAGAAATATTTTCAGCTTCCTGGCATGTGATCATGTTCTTTGTGCCTTTCTTGCCCCCTTTCCAAATCTAACACATATAACTATCCAATTGACATTTCTTTAGTCCTCTGCTATATAAATAAACACGAGTACAAGTTATGTTATAGAGTTTTTTTATAACATAATTTACTGAGTTAAAGCTTTTATGTGGGAATCAACAGTAGACTAGTCAATGATGGTATAGAAACAAGTGTTTTAATTTTTTTAATGTGTATTTATTTTTGAAAGAGAGAGAGAGAGAGAGACCGAGTGTGAGTGGGGGAGGGGCAGACAGAGAGGGAGACACAGAATCCGAAGCAGGCTCCAGGCTCTGAGCTGTCAGCACAGAGCCTGATGCAGGACTTGAACTCACCGTGAGATCATGACCTGAGCCAAAGATGGACGCTTAACTAACTGAGCCACCCAGGCACCCCGAAACAAGTGTTTTTAAATTACAAGAAAATGATCGTGTTTTCATATGAATTATGTATTTTAATCCTTAAAATAATAGTAGCTCATATTTATTGCATGCCTACTATGGACCAGGCAGTGTGTGCTTTTCTGAGATTATCTTGTTTAATCCTCCAATAACTGTAGGAAGAGATCCTTATATTATACCCACTTTATAGATTCAGAAACTGAGACTTCAAGAAGTTAGAGAGGGATCCCCTTTCAAAAAGTGAGGAAAGCAAGATATGAGACTGTATGTGACTTGCCCAAGATTACCTGCCTGCCTTTGTAAGCTCTCTATCACTGGGTCAGACTGATTCTTATAGAATTTAAAGCATAGGAGGGAGTCTGGTCTGTGCCTATGCCCTGTCTGTTCACCAACATATTCAAAGACTCATCATTATTTAAATTCTGACCCTGAAAGTGAATGCAGTCAAGATGTCCTCCCAAAGGGATGCCTACACCTAAACATTTTAATTACAACCAATAGGTACAACAGCTGTTAATTTTCATCTCCTCATTTAATTAGTGCCATTATGGTTTCCCTTAAATTCAATAAATTGACTGAGACCAAGTAAGACAACCATGCTCAATAGCTGAGAAGGGGTCAGTGCTTAATAAATCTTAGCTTTGAGATGGAGTCTGTAAAAGTTAAACACCAGCTTAAAGCAGAAGATGATTGAGGTCCTCAGTTGCTCTTTCCCTAGTATTCCTGTGCAGTGTAAATCTCTCTAAGTATTTGTATAATTTCAGGTACAGCTTGACTTCAAGTTATAAGCTTAGTTATGCAATGCTGGAGAAAAATCAGAGGATAAAATCTGGTTATCAGTGGAAAGTTGAGCCAGGCTACATTTTCATTCCCATTCACATCACAATGACTCAACCGATGAGAAATATTTTATTCTCATTTTCGTGTTAACTTTTGACCCCAAATGACTTGCCTTTTGTGTTACACCCAGACCAAAATGTCCAATAATGAAAAAAGAGCATTTGTAATTGACTAAGCATTCCCCTGGAAGGTATTATAACAAATGAAAGTAGGAGCTTATGCACCCCTGTCTCTTTTCTCTCTTTTTTCACACATATATTTTTTATAATGTTCAGTTAGTTACAAAAGCAAAAAGAGGCTGACTCTTGCGTTAGTTGCTTAAAGTGTGATTGATTTTGAACCACATTGTCTTGTATTTTCAGGCACTCAAATATAAGATCTTTTGACATACTATGTTTGTACTGTTCCCTACACAATTTCTACAAATATGTATGTCATTGCTTTTGGAATAAAATTCAGAGGGTTTTTTTTTTTTAATCAATCTTCAGAAATGTGCCTTGGAAAAGAAGTCCCTAAATAAAGGCTGAGGAATCCAAGCAATTACAAATACAAAACAATTATGAATAAATTTGTTGTACTCACAAAAAAAGGCTGCTGACTTCATCAAACTTGAAAAAGAAAAGACAGCCCACAGCATTCCACAAATGATAGTATTGGCTTCATTCAGCACTTAGTAGGCATTCAACCCCTTGAATAAATAAAATAAACTCCTAAGGATCCCAATAGCTCAATGGGACAGAAGGTTAGCCAAAGCTTTGTTTGTAGACATCATCCTGTTAAAGGTGATTAGGTAGTGAATGTTTATTTGAAAAACATCAAGAAGGCCTGGTCCTTACTGGGGTTCATGACCCTTCTTTCTTTTACTTACATCTTTCCATTCACTAAAAAGCTTTTACACTGTGGGCTCTATTCAGAAATGGGGAATTTCTTAATGGATGAATGACTAACAGACTGAACTGAATCTAATACTGTCATAATGAGGTCCATTTAATAAATGCCCCAGACAAATAGCATTGTAAAGTTAGGCTGGGGTGTCTGCATTTTAAACATGAGACCAAAGATCCTTTCACTGCAAAATGAAGCACAAGAAAATGAAATGTGCTGTTCACATCCCAACCAGAACTCTGCTTTCAGCTCGTGCTTACGTTTCTTAGGCTCTTTCTTCCCAGGTCCTGATCAGCAGAATGGGTTTGGCATTGCTATTATACCTCACAGTGGTGAGCTGAGGATTAAAAGATACATGCATGGGCGCCTGGGTGGCTCAGTCGGTTAGACGTCCGACTTCAGCCCAGGTCACGATCTTGCGGTCCGTGAGTTCGAGCCCCGCGTCGGGCTCTGGGCTGATGGCTCAGAGCCTGGAGCCTGCTTCTGATTCTGTGTCTCCCTCTCTGTCTGCCCCTCCTCTGTTCATGCTCTGTCTCTCTGTGTCTCAAAAGTAAATAAACGTTAAAAAAAAATTTAAAATAGAAAAAAAAAGATACATGCAAATTCCTTAGGATAGTGCCTGGCACATAGTAGGTTTTCAGCAAATGTCCACTGCTATTGTCATTATTTGCTTAGATTTTTCTCAACCAAAGTGTTAAACAGATATGATTAATGTGGAAACAGACCACTGTTATATTTCTGTCCTTGATAATACCACTTTCATTTTGATTCCATTCTTTTGGCCTTTGTATGATAGACTCCTAAACCTTAAATAATTCAGTTATGAAAGAGCTGTACATGCTTCATTAAAATAATATGTATTATGTATAATGACTGTATTCTAGGCACTGTTATAAATATGTCACTACATTAACTCATGTTATTGTTTTTTTTTCAATTTTATTTAAATCTAAGTTAGTGAACATACAGTGTAATGATGATTTCAAGAATAGAATTTAGTAATTCATCACTTACATATAACACCCAGTGCTCATCCCAACAAGTGCCCTCTTCAATACCCATCATCCATTTAGCCAATCCCCCACCCACCACCCCTCCAGCAACCCAGTTTGTTCTCTGTCTTTAAGAGTCTCTTATGGTTTATCTCCCTCTCTGTTTTATATTATTTTTGCTTCCCTTCGCTTATGTTCATCTGTTTTGTTTCTTAAATTTCACTTATGAGTGAAATCCTAGGATATTTGTCTTTCTCTGACTGACTTATTTTGCTTAGCATAATACACTCTAGATCCATCCACGTTGTTGCAAATGGCAAGATTTCATTCTTTTTGATCGCCGAGTAATATTCCATTGTTTATTATACACCACATCTGCTTTATCCATTCATTAGTCAATGGAAATTTGGGCTCTTTCCATAATTTGGCTATTGTTGATAGTACTGCTATAAACAATGGGGTGCATGTGCCCCTTCAAATCAGAATTTTTGTATTCTTTGAATAAATACCTAGCAGTGCAATTGCTGAGTCATAAGGTAGCTCTATTTTTAATTTTTGAGGAACCTCCATATCATTTTCCAAAGTGGCTGCACTGCTGGTGGGAACTCACTTTATTGTTATAGCTATTATTATTATTACACTAATGTCTAGCTATAATTAAAGAGCTACTATTATTACATTAACTTTACAGATGAGGGAACTTGAGACTTGAACACATTACATCATCATTCAAAATGACTTTGTGAGCGATTCAAGGACTACACCCAGGCAGTTTAGCTCCATAGCCTCCTAACGTCTATGGTCCTTGAAATCTCTTTGTTGCTATTAATCATAAAAATCAGCATCCATGTTCCTTAAAAATGTTTTAGTTTTAAAAACCTATTTTTTCTTGGTTTGAAAATCTTAAAAGCCTAATTTTTTTTAAACGTGAAATTTATTGTCAAATTGGTTTCCATACAACACCCAGTGCTCATCCCAACAGGTGCCCTCCTCAATGTCCATCACCCACCATCCCTTCCCTCCCAACCCCCATCAACCCTCAGTTTATTCTCAGTTTTTAAGAGTCTCTTGTGGTTTGGCTCCCTCCCTCTCTTAACTGTTTTTTTTCCGTCCCCTCCCCCATGGTCTTCTGTTAAGTTTCTCAGGAACCACATAAGAGTGAAAACATGTGGTATCTGTCTTTCTCTGTATGACTTATTTCACTTAGCATAACACTCTCCAGTTCCATCCGCGTTGCTACAAAAGGCCATATTTCATTCTTTCTCATTGCCAAGTAGTATTCCATTGTGTATATGAACCACAATTTCTTTATCCATTCATCAGTTGATGGACATTTAGGCTCTTTCCATAATTTGAAAAGCCTAATTTTTAAATGATCATTATTTTGCTGTATGGTTGCCCTCCACAGACTCAGATATCATACCCATTGGGAATTTTTTTTAATATGGAGAAAAATGAGCAGTGAGCCATGCACATATTTCTTCAAACAACTCAACAGTTGTATATAGAAACAAACAAACAAAAACCCTGTGATGCTTTGATTCATGAATGTGCTTTCAATATTTAAGCTTTATTTTATTAATCTTGCAAAACTCTTGGGAAAGGATATTTACAGCAAAGCACAATTCTTTCATATTACAAAAGAAAGCCTGATTTTATTTTCTGTACTGTCAGAGCAGGCTCGTCTGCGATGCTGTATGCATTGTTAACAACCTATTTCAGGAGTACTGTCTTCTCGGGCATTCTCATTCTCATCCAGAGGACCCCTGACAGAGACAAGTAGTATTCCTTGGGAGAAAATAAGGCACCAAAAGAGTTTCTAGAACTTGCTGAAAACACCACTCCCTCAAGGAAGGTTGTAGATGTAAAATGAAAAGATTTCACCCTTCTCCCAGCTCTGTAATTGGTGACACTTCTAATACTTGAAAATAATATGGGAAGAAATATATTAGAAATGATTAGGTCATGAAGCTAATGTTAGCCCTCAATAATGTTATAGTGATATTTCTGTATATTTCAAAATGAACACTGAGTTTCACCAACATACATGAGTAGAACGAGACTAAATATTTATGGCATGATCAATGGCTTACATAAAAATAGACAGCACGGATTCTCACAATTCCATTTGTGAATTTGTCATGACATTTACAATGTTGTATACAGTATTCCTGTGCCTACCTGTCACTCCAGTAAGATCTTTGAGGGCAAGATTTTGATTTTGTTCATTTTCATATTCTAAAGGTTGATGTAGTATCTGGTTTGCATTATACACTAAAGAAAAATCTGTTGAATGTATGCATAAGTGATTGAAGTCAGAATTCATTTGACAAGGCTTTGTGAATAACTACTACATATCACATATTATTATGGGGACACAAAGACGAATTAGTGGTTCTCTGTTCCTTGAAACGCTCATAGTCTAAGGAGGAGCTAATATAAATAATCATACTGTATGGTGGGTGATATGCTGTGAAAGAAACATGTGGAATGTTGTAGGATTACAGAGACACTGGTTGTAACCATGAAGACAGTACTGGCCGACATTTAACTGAGGTACTAAGCTTCTTTGGGCAGAAATGAGAGGTGAAGTTGTGATAAATAAGGGAATTTTTGATGGATTAATTATACATGAAATCTTAAGTCACTGTGTGCTTGAGGAACAAAGTTTTATATTTTGGAATGACTTTCTTATTTATTTACTGTAATGTTACGTTACAAACATATCAGTGTTCTATTATGTGATGCAGAATATGAAATCATAATTCTAGGCACAGTGTGTCTATTTTTAATTAAGTGACAATTTCATTTTAAATTGCAGTTCCAGTTACAGATGTTTGATATTATTTGTTCCACATCATGGGCCAATAAAGACAAATGCTGTGAACTTCCAGGCCTGGTAAGAATTCTTCTTTTATTAGTAGGCCTATTCTTTATTGAAAAGTTCTAAAATTGTATTTAATTTGCTCTGAAAGTTAAATGTGATTTCATAACATTCATAACAAGATAATTCATTGTAATGATCACAATGAAAAGCCGAAGAGATTGAGAAGGAGGCGTGTCTGACATCAGCAGGATATACTGACTTACATGATGGGGACTGCCCAGATCCAGGCGTGCAATTTACACATAGTCCAGAGGTTCTCAAATTTCCTGGTTCACGAAACCTTTAGTGTTGCAATCATTTTGTTCATGGCACCCCTAAGCCAAAGGAAATGCCTAACAAATCTCTATATGAAGGAATTAGGTCCAAAAATCTTAAACATTGATGCTCTAAACTCAGTAGCTGCATTAAAAAAACAAAAAAAAAAAAACATGAATTGAAAGCAAAAAATGGTATTTTCATTTTATTCTTAAAAAACCACATTACTTACTAATGGGATGCACATGCCTATCAAGAGTGCATGATTTTTCATATGTTAGAATCTGATTGGATGTCGCCACCCTCACTTCTTTTTTTACATTGATGTTTCCCATGGTACTTGCTTTCCATCATAGCAACTGCCAAAACCCCAGATTTGCAAGTATCTGACGTCATCAAAAAGAGTATTTCAGTATCTAATGTTAAGACTGTGAACTACCTTGAGCTAGTTGTTCATATGAAGTCCTATGGGTGCCGAATATTGCTATTTCTCGAGTTTTTAAAAACATTCACCGTGCGCCTGTGAGTTTGCTAAGGTGCCTCAGAGAATCTTGACACACAGTTCTGAAATCGTAGTCATAATCTGTTCGACATATGCGATGCTACTAGAAAATCAAATGTTTTTCACATTATTAATAGCAAGTGTGGTTCATGGGGTTATACCTGTATGTATAAAACCAGATTCATATTTTAGGATCCTTGAAGACAGCGAGCCGAAATGGATGACCCTGTAGTGGCTGGGTAATAGTCATGTCTTAATAATTAAACTTGGAGAATGTGCATGGAGTAACCTTCATGAAGTCTAGAGATTTGCCTTTTTAACTACTTCCTCCAGATCACATCCTCTGTTGCAAGCATTACATTCATGGTGACTATGTTTGAGAAGGAAATACAGTTGGCCTTGAACAGTGTGGGGGTTGGAGTCATCAGCTCTCCTCCCCACTCAGGAAAACGTCTGCATATGACCTTGGACTTACCCAAAACTTAACTACTACTAGTCTTACTGATAACAGAAACAGTTGATTAACACATATTTTGTATGTTATATGCATTATATACTATATTCTTGCAGTAAAGTAAGCTAGAGAAAAGATGTTATTAAGACAATCACAAGGAAGAGAAAATATATTTACAGCATTGCATTGTATTTATTGAAAAACCAATCCAAGTGGTTTGGTAAGTGGACCAGTGCAGTTCAAACACATGTTGTTCAAGAGTTAACTGATGGGGCGCCTGTGTGGCTCAGTTGGTTGAGCATCGGACTTTGGCTCAGGTCATGATCTCGCAGTTCATGGGTTTGAGCCTCGTGTCCGGCTCTGGGCTGACAGCTCAGAGCCTGGAACCTGCTTTGGATTGTGTCTCCCTCTCTATCTGCCCCTCTCCTCCTTGCACTCTGTCTCTCTCTTCAAAAATAAATAAACATTTAAAAAAATTAACGGGTTAACTCTAACTTGCTCTTTCTTCATCAAAATTAATTTCCAAGTAAACTCTGGTGAAGAATTAAATCAGAGACACCGTGATATCACGCTTAAGCACAGATGGATTGGAAATTAGAAGCAGAAACACTCAGAATCCTATGCTGTCTCTAGCCAAATGCTATCACCACTTTTCCTAGGAAGGACTCAGGCCTGATGAGAGCTTTTCTTTTCATTTCTATCACTGAAGATAGGCCAATTCCATAGTAGGAAGGCATGTATAGTCAGCAGCAGTGGCAAAACCATTATGGCCTCTGGTCACAAGAGGCCTTGTATCAGTCTTGTTAGGGGGCTCTTTCTGGATACTTAAGTTTGTATTTCACTCTAGCTGCCCACATGTCAGGCCGGATGTGGTAGCAGGGGGGTTTCCTGTAATGAGCTGAAAGCTTTGACTATTGTCCAACATTTAGAGAAAAGTATATACAGTATATAGAGATCCCCTGCTCAACCTTTTTTGGGTTTCTGTTGTGAACATTTTAGGTACTGAGATTATTTTCAACTTGATCACTTAATTATCATCTGTGTTCTATTCAGTTTCAGCTTTATTTTTCCCCAGTCTTAAATAATGATGTTTATTTTCTCTCTATCCAATGGGACTGGTGAACCCTATGAAGTTCTGTAGTGTCTTATCCCAGTGCAGATTTCATTTTTGGCTGGTGCTTCAAATGAGATATTCATAAATTTTTCGATAGCTGTTAGCAGGTACTCTGTCTTCATACCCCGGTAACTCATCCAGAGATGTTCAACTGGACATTCATAATCTATCTTTAATGTCATGTGGCAACAAAACCGTGCTAGAGAAGCAAAATGAGCCCCTGTCCCAAAGCTTTAGATTGATGCTATGATGTTTCCTAATTTCAACCACAGAATGTGAGTCGTAATTAAAGTTGCTGTGGGGAATTGACAATACATTTAAGCACTGTTTTTAGTTTGTTTTGTGTGTTTTAGTGTAGATGCAGTTCCGAGTGACTATTCCAACACATTTTTTTTATCCTTTTGAAAGGAAAAAATATCCTTTGAAATAGAAAAAAGAAAATTTTCAAGACCTGTGGTTCATAGAGTACTCCTACTCAAACTGAAGGAAATAGTAACCAGGAATTTTTTCTGCACCCACTTCTGCCTTTCTTTCTTCGCCTGCATTTCATTTTTCTTCACCTCCAAGCTCATTTTATCAACATCCTTTGGTAAGGGTGACGATCAGTGACTCACTAGACACTCATTCATTTTTCTTTAAGGAAAATATTTTGTGAGCAGGAGAGAATATTCTTTGCCTTTCCACACCAATGTTCACTTAAAAGTTTTTTTTAAGTGTCTTAAATCAAAGTGTTTTCCTTGATCCATAAAGCCATTTGTATTGTCTTGTTAACAGTTATGGTTTTTTTTTTTGTTTCTTTGTTTGTTTTTCCTCTCAGAGGGATGAGGAGACCTGCCCGGAGCTACCACATTCCTGCTCCTGTTCTGAAGTCAATACAGGGACTCTGGGACCAGCAGGCCCACCAGTAAGTCTTGCCTAATTTAGACTTAAATGTTCTTTAGCAATATTTATAGCTATTATCTACTGTGTGTCTGATATGTGTTTGCCACTGTGCTAATAAACATATACTTAATTCTGTGAGCAAACTGAAGCACAGAGATGTTAAGTAACTTGCCTAAAGAACACATCTTTTCTTCAAATCCAGGTCTCCATGACTCCTACAGATGACCCTCTTTAACCTCTATAGCATACTTATCTCTCAAATGGTTATGTATTTCAAAATCTCCCCTTTAAACTCCTGTGGTTCATTTTCAGTGTGAATGTTTCAAAGATTGGCCTTCTACTTGTAACTTTAAGATTTGCATACCCTCCCTTGCCCATTCTGTATTACAATTGATCCATGAGGAAAATTCAGCAGGAAAATTACCCTATCTGAACATGAAGTTCCCCACCACTGATGGGAACTTCCTGCAAAAAAGGAGAGAGAGAGGGGCACGTGGGTGGCTTAGTGGGTTAAATGTCTGACTTCGGCTCAAGTCACGATCTCACAGTTTGTGAGTTTGAGCCCCACGTCGGTCTTTGTGCTGACAGTTCAGATGGCCTGGAGTCTGCTTCAGATTCTGTGTCTCCCTCTCTCTCTACCCCTCCCCCACTTGCACTCTGTCTCTCTCTCAAATATAAAACGTAAAAAAAAAAATTTTTTTAAGAAGAAAAAAAAAAGGAGAGAGAAGGAGATTGGCCAGGGGGAGGGGGAGGGGGGAGGAGGAGGAAGGAAGGAGGGAGACACAGAAAACATCATTGTAAAACATAAAATGTATGTAATTGCACTATGTGGGTCTTCGGATTTGCCATGATGAATTTTTCCATATAATGTGTTTAAGTGCTCATTTTATGTCTAATCGCCTAAACTGGGGTTATCAGTGTCCCCACTGTTATCCTTGAGGTGAGTATGATATAGTTGGTCTGTGGCTAGGAAGTAGCTAATGGATCAAGGCAGAAAGACAAAGGAAGCAGGGAGAAGAATCCCAAGCAAATAAAGAAATGCAGACCTTGCAGGAGGAATGTTCTGATGCCCGAGCAGCCCTTGCACGCTGGCCTGCCAGAGGAGGCGGCCCCACCAAGATGCGTGCAGGAGATCACGCAGACCGACCACTGGCTCACAGCGTGAAGGTTCACTCCAATGTGGCCCCACCACCATGGTTTTCCTTCATCTGTGCGCCACATTTCCTGAAATGAACAAAAAGGAAGAGAGCCTACTGAATGTATCTGAAATATATCCCAGCAGTTTCTCCTTTACCTTTGGCACAGAGAACATTCTTTCAAGTGCAGATGTGGAACCCAAGTCCCCCCCCCCTTTTTTTTTGGAACAGGAGACTCTTTATCCCAAAGAAGCAAATGTGGAGTGATGGTAAAAGCATTAAGTTTAAATCATAAAACTGGGCAAATCTTGGGGCACCTGGGGGACTCAGTCGGTTAAGTGTCTGACTCTTGGTTTCAGCTCAGGTCATGATCTCACGGTTGTGTGTTCAAGCCTGGTGTCTGGATTCTCTCTCTCCCTCTCTCTCTCTCTGTCCTTCCCCCCCACCTCAAAGTAAATAAATAAACTTTTAAGAAAAGTCTAGGCAAATCTTTGAACCACAGCGAATCTCCATTTCCTCATATGTCAAATAGCACCCTTCTATGATGTTATGAGGAATACATGAGAAAAAGTGTATGTAAGTATTCTGTGCATTACAAAATTTAAATCAAATGAGGGGCCTGGGTGGCTCAGTTGGATAAGCGTCTGTCTTCAGCTCAGGTCATGATCTCAAGGTTCATGAGTTTGAACCCTGCATTGGGCTCTGTGCTGTCAGATCCTCTTCCCCTGTCTCTCTCTGCCTCTCCCCCGCTCATTTTCTCTCTCTCTCTCTCTCTCAAAATAAACACATAAACTTAAAATAAAACTTAAATATAAGGAGTGATCTTTAGTGATCTTTAGTTTAATCTTGGAATTAGAAACACAGATTTATTTTCAACTGTGTAGCTTGCTTTTTTCTTAACCCAAAAGCATGTCTTTGAACTTTATCAAGGGTAATGCACATTGTTCCATTATATAAACTACAGTTTATTGACCCACTACTGTGGAGTATTTGCCTACTGAACATCCTTTGTGTGTCTCTGCAAACATAAGTCGAGTGCTCTTACGATAACACTTAGAATCAGATTTGTTGGAGAATAGTGTACCTTCTCTGAATGGTGTACCTTCAGCTTCATGAAGAAGCCGCTAATTGCCTTTCAGGATGGTTGTCCCAATATCTTTTCCCACAAAATCTAGAAGAGTTCTGGCTTTTAAGCATCTCACCAGCACTGTCTGTTGTTGCCAAACATGAGAACTTTTGCTTAAAACCCTGTGTGGCTGTTATTTGAAATAAGACTTTCCCTCTCTGCTAGTAACATGGGGCAGTTGTTCATTTGTGTCTGAGCCATTTGGATTCCTTTTTTTTTTAATGTTTGTTTGTTTGTTTATTTATTTGTGAGAGAGGGGGGGGCAGCAGGGGAGGGGCCGAGAGAAAGGGAGAGTCCCAAGGAGGCTCCATACTCAGTGCAGAGCCAGACGTGGGGCTCAATCCCACGAACTGTGAGATCATGACATGAGTCAAAATCAAGAGTTAGATGCTCAACTGACTGAACCACCCAGGTGCCCCAGATTTCTTTCTATATAAATACCTGTTTATAAACTTTTTTCTTGGTTTTGTCATGCAGGTTTTTGCTCATTAGTATCTAACAGATTTTATGTATTCTGGACACTAATCTTTATTAATGAAATGGTTTGCAAATATCATTTCATGGTCTATGGCTTTCTTGTTGTTTATGGGACTTTTTATTGTCTGTACATCTTAATTACAGTGTAGTGAAATTTAAGATTTCTGTGAGCTATCATCCTTTATGTCTTTTTTTTATTCCTCTTTTAGCCATGATTTACTTAAAAGTGTCTTTTTAAATTTCCAATTGTATGTGCACTTTTTACTGTTTTCTTGGTGGATTAATTTTATTGTACCTTATCATGGGAGATAGTCTATATAGTACCAATTTTTTGACATTTGTTGATTCTTTGACATTGCCTTGTGGCCTTGGTCAGGTTTTACAGATGTTCCATGCATGCTCTAGAAGAATGTGCATGTTCTAATTGTGGAGTTCAGAATTCTAAATATAAATACCCAGTAAATCAAATTGTAAATTGTGTTGTTAGAATCTCCTTTGTCTGCATTAATTTTTTATCTTTCAATTAGTGACGTAAGTGTTTAAAGTCTTCTACTTCAGTGTCCTTCTGTCAAATTTTGTTTGTAATTCTGCATTGTATATCTTGAGTTTGTGTTACAGTGTGCAAAAAACTGAGAACAACTTGCTATATCAACATTTCTTGCTTGACTTATTTTCCTGGTAGGTATTTTCTCCAGCCTCTTAGTTTCAGCCTTTCCATGTCTTTATGTTTGAGATGTGTTCTCTTTAAATAGCTTATGGTTAGATTTTGTTTTCAATCTGGTTTTGCAATCTTTCTTTTTAGAGTTTAGTCCATTCTACTGTTTTTGATCATTAACCTCTTGGGGCAAATATTCCTATATCCATCTATCACTGCAATTTTTGCTATTGGTCCCACATGATATATGTGTGGATTTCTTGGTTTGTTGAAGTTTTATCTACTTTTTGACTCTTTGTTATTATTCTCATTCTTTTCTCCCCTCCACTAATTCAGAAATTATTCTTCTATAGCTGCTTTTTCAGTAGTTAACCAAGAGATTTTAACAAACATATTTAATGTGACAAAGTCCAAAATGAACCATAATTTCTACCTTATTTCAACCAATACAATATTCTTGGAATTTTTTTCTCTTGGATCATCCTTTTTATAAATTTATGTGCTCTTGCTATCTGGTATTTTAGTACTTTTTTAACATCACAAATTAGACATTTTATTATTATTTGTTATAAATTAATATGTGGTAAGACTTGCTCCATATTTGCTATTTCTTGGCTTACAATATCTTCTGGTATCATTTTTATTTCTCCTGGAAGACACCCCTTGGGTATTCCTTTAATGAGAGACTATTGGTAGTAAATTTTCATTTTTTGTTCATCTTAAAATGTTTTTATTCCCCATATTATCAAAAGATAGTTTTGCTGGTCATTACAGAGATTGTTAATTGCACCCCCCCACCCCGTATTCATTGCCATGGCTTCTTTTTCATAGTAGAATTCCCTGAGTTTTAGCTAAGTACATGGCCATTCAGCTAGTGACTTGATTTCCTAGCATCTATTCAAGTAGGTATGACCTTATGACTAAGTGCTGGTAGCGAGAGGAAAGGTGTATGTAATCACCCTAGACATTGTTCTTAAATGAAAATGAAGGGCCCTCCTTATCCATGCTTACCTTTCTCAACAGACTACTGTGGGAACTTGTGGTAGGGAGTTCACTTTGGTAAGCAGTGTCCTGGAACAGAGCAGAACAATAAAAGGAAAGCAACAAAGCTTCCACATTGTCTTACACGGTAAGGCTTCTCTACACTACTGAACCATTATCAGCTCAGATGTTAATATAAGAGAATAATAAGCCTCCTGTCTTGCTTAAAATTTTTAATATTGACCTCAATTAAAGCAGTCAGACAACTTTCCAAACTAATAAACAGGAAGATCTTGGTTTCAAGATCCCTTTGTCTTTAGTGATCTGAAGTTTCACCACAGTTATGTTTGGTGTGGGGTTTTCATGTTATTATTCTGCCATTTTGGAAAATTTATGACTTCATGGCTTGAACACCAGTGTTCTCATTAAATTTGGAGTTTTCTTAGTCGTTATCTCTTTGAAGATTGCCTCTCTCCTGTCATCTCTATTATGTTTTTCTGAAACTCAATTAGAAGTACATTGTAACTTCTCATTTTACTGTCATGTCTCAACCTTTTTTACTTATTTCTCCTTGTGTTTCCAGGATTCATTCTGTGTAGTTTCTTCAAATCTACCTTCTGGTGTACTCTATGTTTAGCTATGTGTAA